TTCCCCTTCTCCTCTTCCTCCTTTTCCTCCTCGTCCTCTCCTCTCCTCTCCTCTCCTCTCCTCATCTCCTCCTCCTCCTCCTCCTCCTTCTCCTCCTCCTCCTCCTCATCACCATCACCATCACCATCACCATCACCATCACCATCACCATCACCATCACCATCATCATCATCATCATCATCATCATCATCATCATCATCATCATCATCATCATCATCATCATCATCAGCATCATCAGCATCAGCATCAGCATCATCATCAACCTTCTCTCCTCCTCATCATCATCACCATCACCACCACCATCACCACCATCATCATCATCATCATCATCATCGTCATCATCATCGTCACCATCATCATCATCACCACCACCATCATCGCAATCATCATCATCATCATCATCATCATTATCATCATCATCACCATCATGATCATGATCATCACCATCATGATCATCATCGTCATCATCATCGTCATCATCGTCATCATCGTCATCACATCATCCATCACCATCACCATCACCATCACCATCACCATCACCATCACCATCACCATCATCATCATCATCATCATCATCATCATCATCATCATCATCATCATCATCAGCATCATCATCATCATCATCATCATCATCATCATCATCATCATCATCATCATCATCATCATCATCATCATCATCATCATCATCATCATCATCCTCTCCCCATCCTCTCCACATTATCCTCCTCCTCCTCCTACTCCTCCTCCTCCTCATCCCCCTCCTTCTCTCAAGCCACTTCGGCCAAAACCATTTTGGTATGGGTCGACTCTTGTGCATGCCCGTGGTGCTTGTGGCATTCCGGGCCCCGCTCTTCCGCACATCGGTCCGCTCGGTCAACTGAAGCCAGGGTTTACGTCTGTTCTTTCCCACACATCCCAATCATATCGCGCCCTGTCCCCTGCCCCTCGTCGGTGGAGCCCTCCTCCTCCTCCTCCTCCTCCTCCTCCTCCTCCTCCTCCTTATCTTCCTCCTCGTCCTCCTCATCCTCCCCGAGCCGCTACGACCACTTCGAGAGGTGCGAGTTGAACGACCGGCTCGCGAAACTGGACTACAAGTGCGTCCACTGCGTCACCGCGGTCACGATCTACAAACCCAAGGGCAAGGCTCGCCTCGCATCTTGGGAGCGTCGTGTCTCTTTCGCGGACAGGGTCGACGAGCCGCTGGCCATCGCGGGCGACAAAGACGGCACCCCGCCTGGGAGTCAGTCCGAATCCGTCAAGGACCACCTCGTGGAGGCGCTGAAGATGACCAAGGATTAGGATTATGTCGGGCGTGTCCCCCCACAGGCGGATTTTCGAGGAAAGATAAAAAACACACCAAACATAACCAAACATACCCCAAAAGGGTCAAACAATACTCAAACATAGTCCCCAGACTATCTTTGGAGTATTTTTGGACTATGTTTGTAGTATTTATTTATCGTTCGTCGAAAATCCCCCTGTAGGGGGACACACCCGACTTAAACATAGGAGCTCAAGAGGCTCCTCGAGTCGCGCGTCGAGGGCACGTCGGCCTCGGCGCAGGCGGCAATCCCCCAGCCCGTGGCGGCGGCGCGGATCAGGGCGGGTGCAGCGCGGCGGGGCGCCAGCCGCAGGCGCGACCAGGCTGTGGCCAGCGTGCCAGAACTTCGCACCGCGCGCAGCGTGGCCGACGGCAAGAATTCATTAGCGTTAGGTTGGGCGTGTCCCCCCCCCCCCCCCCCCCTCCGTGGGCATCGGCCGCGGTGCCAAAGACACCACTGAGCTGCCATGGACAGGCCAGGTGGTGCAGCTTCTAAGAAGCACGCACCCAAAGGCTGCAGGACCCGAGGGGGGGTCCTGCAGACAGAGACCTGGGGAGAGGCAAAGAGCGCGGCGAAACACTCTGCCTGTCGTTAGGTTGGGCGTGTCCCCCATACAGGCGGATTTTGGGCGATAGTTCAATATACCCAAGAACTAGCCAAAACATATTTCAACATAGTTCAATCTTGTCCCCGGACGACTTTTACTATTTTAGAATATTCCTCCTGTAGAAGGACAGGCCCGACTTAACACTAGCGGCTCGCGTGCTGGCAGCTGCCGAGATGGCCCGTCGGGGAGCCGTCGAGTCGCTGGCGCGGGCAAAGGGAGTTGCAGCGACTCCTGCAGTCAAGTGCGTCGACAAGCAGTCGCAGGAGTTGACCGAAGTGATCTGGGACGAGTCGTTGCTCCACGGAGGCCCCTTAGATGCTAGATGGGGTCCGAGTAGATGGGGTCGCAGGATTGCACTGCATTGCAGATGTATCGCCGATGCATCGACGATGCATCGGCGACGTCGGCGATGCATCGGCGACGCCGGCGTGGAGAAACTCGGGGACCGCATCGAGCCGCATCGGCGATGCGGAGCGACCCTTCGATCCCGTCTACTCGTACCCCATCTAGGAGGCCTAGATTCCAGGACATCGACAGCTCTGAGTGCGTGCGAAGACGCCGGGGAGGAGCGGCCCGAAACACATTCACGACCAAATGCAGCAGATGGCGACGGCTTTCGCCTCTGCGTCCTTTGAGGCGAAGGATTGGCATGACAAGGCGTCCCAGGTGCGCGAGGAGATCGACGGGAGCATGGCCATCAGAAAAACGCGCTCCAATGGGGGTGTGGCGCAGGTCGCCGCCGTCGAGGGGGCCCCGTCGTCGTTCGCCACGCCCGGCGGAGATAGCCAGCCGCCAGCTGGAGAGCCTGCGCCGAAGGCCCCGTTGAGTGGGGAGCTGGAGGAGCAGGAAGCGAAGGTGCAGGCTTGGGCGTCTCGGCAGTCGGCGGCCAAGTTGGCGGCGACGGAGATCGCCAGGCGGATGAAGAAGCGGGGCTGCGTCGTGCAAGCTCAACTTCAGGCGAGTTTCCTCGGAGTTGACCAGGGAGGCGGGCGGCGCGCGGCTCGTGAAATGCGAACAAAGAAAGGGCTCAAGCTAGTCGAAGCTTCACTCCGAGGTGGTCCGTTTCGCGAGGGCTTCGCGCCAGGCCACATCAAGACTGGATCGCCTGGGAAGTGGGCAGTCCATTCATCCACGGCGCCCACGGACGGAAGCTCCAACAGTGTCGGCGTGGACTGGCGGCGGTGTGCGGCGCCGGAGGGGAAGGCTCGTGCGTCGCGTCGCTGCTGCCCGTGAGGGCGCATGGGGCAAGACCCAGGCGTCAAGTTGCCGCGTGATGTTGCAGCGCCCTGGTTGCAGCAGTGGTTCGCCCGCGCCCCCCACGTCGGGGGACCCCTTCGAGTAACCCCCCTCGGGCCTCTCAGGGGTGGCGCGGCGGGCTCGCACCTGCTGCGGCTGGCCAACCACAGGGCAAGAGTCTCTCCCACAGCCCCGTCGAGCTGTGGTGACGAGCGGGCTGCCAGCCCGCCTGTTTTCCTGGGGCGCCATGAGGGCACCCAGCGGCACAGGTGCCAGTGGCCTGCTGTGCTGCGGCGGCTCGACGGAGTCTCTCCCACAGCCCCGTCGAGCTGTGGTGACGAGCGGGCTGCCAGCCCGCCTGTTTTCCTGGGGCGCCACGAGGGCACCCAGCGGCACAGGTGCCAGTGGGCCGCTGTGCTGCGGCGGCTCGACGCCGTGCACGGCCCGAGGGGCGGCCCGGGTGGGGTTCCGAGGGCCCCGTGGCTGCCGCCCGCCCTCCTCGCGCTGCTCTCGCGCGCGGCCGGCGCCCAGAGGCCCCGCCCCGGGGGGCCTCGCTCCGATGGAAGCCACGCGGTGCTTCCAAGAAGAATTGTATCATGATCAGATTCGGCACGAACGGAATGGGTACGGAAAAAATGGGCACGATGCCCAATAGCAGTTCCTGTTCATGTTGACCAGGACTCGCTGTCGGCGTCGCCGCGGCCTGTGTACATTTGAGACAGAAGGCCGCCTGCCCAACAGCGGCCGCTGTTGGTTTGGGACAACATTTGTTGCTGGGCATTGTACCCATTCTTTCCGTGTCCACTTCGGGCGTCCGAACAGATAGCGCTGAGTCGTGTGCAGGACTTGTTCGGTGCCCGTGATCCGTCCGCGGCGGCAGCACACTGGCAGAGGGCCTCGCTGCAGGTCTGCGGCCGCGGGCTGCAGGGCGGTGTGGACAACTGTTCTTTGCAGTGGCTGCTCCGATGCCTCGAGGCGCTTCCTGGAGGACGGCGACCTGCCGAGGTCATGGTCTCCGCCTGCGCGGGGGGGTCGTGGCCGCGCGAGCGTCGGGCTGCAGCCTCTGCGAAGATCGTGGTGCACCAGAAGTGTCCTCGGTGTCGATGCCGCGTGCTGCTCCTGAAGGTGAATCGCTCCTCCTCCTCCTCCCCCTCCTCCTCCCCCTCCTCGTCCTCGTCCTCCTCCTCGTCCTCCTCCTCCTCCTCCTCCTCTTCCTCATCCTCCTCCTCCTCCTCCTCCTCCTCCTCCCCCTCCTCCTCCCGATCCTCCTTCTCCTCCTGCTCGTCCTACTCCTCCTCCTCACCATCCCCCTTGGGGGTTGCGAAAATAATATCGATGCGGCGGCTGCTCATCGGCGGCCAGATGACTTACTCCCATCGGCGACGGCGCGGCACGAGGTCGACCAGGCCTTCCGCCTGCGAGGCGTGATGCCGCGGGAATGGGCTGCCGTTTCGGTTTCAACTGTGGAGGAAGCATGGTGTGGAAGCGGTACGTTGCTCAGCGGTGTGGGCGATGGCGCCTTCGGCGAGGGCACTCAGGTGCACCCAGCGGTCATGTTTGGCGACGCATCGGGAGGAACGGGTTCGAAGGATCTTCGCTTTCGCCGTGTCGGCTGTGGTCGCGTCCAGGTGTGCAGCGAGAGGGATTTGACCATCCAGAGTGTTGTGTTAGGCCCACTGTCTGGCACCCAATATGTTCACAGAGGTGAGTTGTACACGCTACTGATGGCCGCCAGCTTGGCCACCGACCATGCAGTGTACGTCACAGACAAACAGATGGTGTCCGATGGATGGTACGATCAGGAAGGCCTCTGCCCGAGCGGGGAGCGCGCCGAGTTGATGGGAAAGGGTCGGAGGGGTGTTTGATTATTCGGGAACGGCCAAGAGGGGGGCGTCCAAAAGGGGGGGGCGCAAATCATGGCCGGCAGCATGTTCGCGGCTCAGGGGGGGGCCGGGAACGTACTGAAGAAAGAAGAGGCGCCATGAAATCGGAGGAGCCATGAAATCGGAGGAAATATCATGGCCCACGCCATGATACCCCCCCCCCTCCCCTCGTGATCACCCCCCTCTGGGCCGTCCCCTAGCTGTACATGTGCTGGGCATGCTGTGGCTCTGTCTGTCGGCTCGCAGTCGTCGGCTGCTGCCACGGTGACCGCTGGCATTCCGAGCAGGCTCGCCTGCGGGAGCACCACGGCCGCTGCCGCGGCAGGCGAGGCGGCAGCAGCGGCGGTGCCTGCCCGAGCATCGGGTGCTGCTAGAAGTACCCCTGGCCCCAAGGTGCCCCCAGGATTCCAGGGGTGGCCCAGACGGCCTCCAGAGCTCCTCTCTCGAGGCCCATAGGGCCCCAGAGGGCTCCAGCATGGAGCGATAAGCTGGGGGCACCGTGGGCCCAAGGGCGCTTCTGGCAACGCCCGAAAACAGAAGCAGAACACGTCCGGAAAAGAGAGGCCGGCTTCCCTGGCTCATCACGCACGCAATTCTGGATCCAGGGCGTTTCTCTCAATCCTGTTGCGCCAGGCTGTGCCAGAAATCACGCTCCTCTGGTGCAGGGGCACTTCTGGCAGCACCCGAGAGCAGGCGCGAGGCCGAGTCGGCCAGGCCGAGCACCGGGCCTGCCGGGTGCGGGTGCGCCTGCTTCGCGCAGCTGTCGACGCGATGGCCGCCGAGGAGGAGCAGGCTCGGCAGGAGGAGAGACGCAGCAGAGGAGGGCTGGTTCGCAGTGAGGGTGGCTCACCTCTTCCTCCTCCTCCTCCTCCTCCTCCTCCTCCTCCTCGTCCACCTCTCCTCCTCGCCCTCCTCGCCCTCCTCGCCCTCCTCCTTCTCCTCCTCCTCCTCCTCCTCCTGTGCTGCCTGTCTGGTCCCCGCCGTGCCCCGAGGGGCCATCTCTGCGCTGTCCAGCAGCCCTGCGGTGGACGATTCGGGGCGTCGGTGCCGCGAGCGCCGAAGCTCTTCGTCGATCTCGGAGTGCCGTCGTTGGAGGGCTGCGCCCTGCTAGAAGCTCGTGGCCGTGAGCGGTTCTCTTGGGACCCTTCCCCGGGAAGTGGAGTTGCACATCACAAGTGTACTCCAGATTTTGTAATAAAGGGAGGGGGGTCTCATTTCGGGGGGGAGTCTCTTCCAGGCTATCTTGGAGGGCCTGGGGGGTCTGGGGACGATGTTTTGGAGGGTTCTCCCACGGGGGAGGTCTGAAATGGCTTGTCTTGGAGGGTCCAGACCCCCTGCCTTTTATTACGAAATCTGGGGTAACCAAGATGTAGATGTCTGGCTTTGTGCGGTGTGCGGAAGCTTTGCCGACCAGGGCTGCGCCCTGTTCTAAGCTCATGGCCTTGAACGGTCCCCTCAGGGCCCTTCCCCAGCGGGTGGAGTTTCACATCGCTGGGGCTTGGGTGCGCAGGTCTCGCAGAAGAAGGCGTAACCCAGATGTAGATGTCTGGTTTTGCACGGTGCGCGGAAGGTTTGCCGACCAGCAGCTTTTGGGCTTGGGCAAGGGAGATTTGTCCCATGAAGGCGACAGCCCACCCGTGCTGTTCCCCAACGTCTATAGCAAGACTGAGAAGGCTAAGAGAGCACTTCAGGCGCTCTCCTTTTGAAGGCTTCAGAGATTTGGGCACCGTCTTGGAACTCTTAGTCTTCCTCTTACGCGTGCCCATACTCTTCCTCCCCCTTTTCCTCTTCCTCCTCTTCCTCCTCTTCCTCCTGCTCCTGCTTCTCCTCCTCCTCGATCTGGCCCGAAGCTTGCCGCAGAACGATGTGATCCAAGGCTATGGTCGTGATTCTTCCGCGATGCTCCATTTTTGTTCGCAACTTCGGGTCCCAGGGGAGAGCAGTCGGGAGAAGCGAGAAAGGCAGGACGGAAGGGCGAAGGGAGGAAGGAGCAGGAAGGCGGGATTCTACATGATTCTATAAGCCGAGCCTCCAGATACCCGAAACACGAAAAACGGCGATAAAAAGACCGCCCCTAACCCAAATGCCTCTCCTGTGCGACCAGGTTTCATCTCCGAAGTTGTAGCTGATGACGCGCAGTCCAGCCATCTCGTTCCCTTGCCGTTGAGGACGCAGCGGAGGAGGGACGGGAGGAAGAGGCGGAGAAGGCGGCGGTCCGCGGTGGTGTCTGACCTTGCCGATCGAGTCTGCCGTTGTACCATGGTTCTTGGCCCTTCTCGGCATGTTCATTTGGGTGCAGCTCGGTGCTCGAGCGGGCTGCTCCACTCCCTCTCCCTCTCCTCTCTCCGCCGCTCTATTTCGCACTCATGCTGCAGATCACACTTCGTATTCATTCGACAGTGCTTCTGAGACGCCACAGCTGTCCTGGGCATCCTGTCCGCAGAAGGCGAATAAGCATGCGGGGGTGGAGGGATGAGTGATGGAGGAGGAAGAAAGGAGGAGACAGAAGGAATGGGGGAAGGGAGAAGGGAGGACTGAGGAGGAAGGAGGGTGCATGGAGGAGAGGGCAACGGGAGGAGGGAGATGTCACCCCTGGACGCCGACTTATGGTTAGCTGATCGTCACGTGCATGTGGCTCATGACCTCAGCGGGGGCAGCGATACAATCACACTATCACCATAAGGAATGCTAAGTCCGCCGACCCTGTCGGCGTGTGGAAGACGCTGTTATGTTTGACTCGACGTAATCGTCGTCGCCGTCGCGTTTGACCGCCCTTTCCCTGGGCCCTCCTCCTCAAGCAAGCCAGCCAAAGCGAAACCAGCACGAAATTGAGCAACGTCGTAGTTGAGTCGAGGGGAAGCCCCTTCCATTTGATCCCTTCCCCCGTGGGGTGGGGGGGGGTCCAGGAGGGGTCCCGTCCCGGGGGGTGGTCCTTGGGGGGGGGGGTCCTGGGGGTTTCCTGGGAGTCTCTGGGGGGGCTCCCAAGGGGGTCCCGAGGGGTTCCTGGGTCAGAATACCATCGTCCCCCGGGGGATCCTGGGGTCTAAAGAGCTCCAAGACAGCCCAAGATGCCCCCAAAAAATCCCTCAGGGCCCCGAATCGCGGAGCATTCGGTCCAAGACGCCATAGATTGCCTCCTGACAGCCCAAGGGGCTTCCAAGACGCTCGAAGCTCCACGATCACACCAAGAAGGCCCCAACAGGCAAAATTACATAACTTTCTTCGGCTTGTTTTTGCAACCATTATTATCATTCGTATTATCATGTTTAGTATTATTATTGTTCGTATTATTATTACTATGTATTATTGATGTTATTATTACTATTATTATTATTATTCTCATTATTCGTATTATTATTATTATTATTATGATTATTATTATTATTATTCGTATTATTATTATTATTATTATTTTCATGATCATCATTATTATTATTACTATTATTATTATGACTATTATCATGCTTATGATTCTGATTAGTTCCACTATTATTATTAGTACTATTATTCTTATTCGTCTTATTCTTATATACATGTACTATCTATATATACAAGAACTAACTATCATTTATTAAACTATTTTGAACGATTCTGGCTTTCTCGCCTTTTCGGCTTCCCGACGCCCTAAGATGACCCACGATGCCATCAAGGACGTGTGGCCCCCAAGAGGTTTCCAAGACGGCCCCAACACGACCCAAGAGGGCCCTCAAACGGCCTTAGAGGCCGCCCAGACGGCCCAGCAGAACGGCTCCAAGAAGGTGCCCACACGGGAGCCCGAACGACCACTTCGAGCCCTCGGCCCCGAGAAGCTCCCAGGAGGCCCAAGTGGCCCCCACGAGGCCCAAGAGGCCCCCAAGAGGCTCCCAGGAAGCCCGAAGAGACCCCCAATAGGCTCCCAAGAGGCCTCCAAGATGCTCCGAAGACGCTCCAGAACTGCCCCCCAGAGGCCTACGAGCGCGCTCCGAAGAGGCCCCACGAAGCATCGCTGAGGACTCTGCCCAACGTCAGCGTCCTCGTCGCCGCCGACGACGCCGCCATCGTGGTCGTCGTCCCCCTCCAGGGTCGGCGGCACCGGCCGTGAGGCCTTCCCAATAAGGAACACGACCAATGGTTTGCCGCAGAAATGACTGGGAGCGCCAGGGGAACATCTGTGAAATGACCAAAGAAACAGCGAGCACCTTCAGAAACCAACCTGTTCCCATGGTGCGCCTTGATTGTACTCCCTCGAGCTCTCCCCAGGGTTCAGGGGGAACGATAGGGGAGAACTGGCTCAGCGGGGGGAAACGTTGACCTGGAATCGGCGATGCTGGTACATCGCAGATGGATCGGCGATAGGCCCCCGATGGCGAAACCACACGGTCCTGGGCGGGCTGGACCATCAGGACTCGCTCTACGGCCCCCCCAGAACGCCCTCGAGGAGGCGCAGCCGATGCAAACCACACCGTGTCCCGAACGCGAAACAAAAACTTCAGGAAGCTCAAGAGAACGCTGGATGCGCCCCCCCCCGAGCCCCTCTCGCCTGGGTCTCGAACGCTTCCGACAACGTTCGATGCGTTCCCGCCTGAGCCCTATCCTCCCCTGCGATTGGGGGCCAGTGTACCCACCGGGGAATAGCGAGGAGGAGGAGGAGGAGGAGGAGGAGGAGGAGGAGGAGGAGGAGGAGAAAGGGAGAAGTAGGGGGAGGAAGAGGGAAAAGGATGAGGAGGATGAGGAAAAGAAGAATGAGGAGGAGCAGGAGGAGGAGGAGGAGCAGGAAGACGAGGAGGGGGAGGAAGAGGAGGAGGAGAAGGAGGAGCAGGAGGAATAAGAGGAAACAACTTATGATGATGCTGAAAATTATGCTGCTGATGATGATGATGAGGAGGAGAAAGAGGGGGAGGAGGAGGAGGAGAAAGAGGAGAGGGAGGAGGAGGCGCAGTAGGCGGAAGAGGAGGATGAGGAGAAGGAGGAGGATGAGGAGGAGGACGAGGAGGACGAGGATGACGAGGGGCAGCAGGAGGGGGAGGACGAGGAGGAGGACCATTATAAACCCAAGAGTCATCAACGATGTTGGCATAAACCCTCCCTACAAGGGTTCATTTCCACTGAAAGAACTGCCTCGTTGGAAGACAACCTTTTGAAGACCCTGGATCATGCCAAAACATTATTTTCGGGACTCCAACGCCACGGATCAACCTGACTGTTACGTCTTGACGTGCCATTCCTGGGACTTCAACGCCGCGAATCAACGTCATTGCTGCGCCCTCTCAATCCGCAATTTTCCAAAACGGAATTTTTGGTATGTTGACCATGGGAATCCGTGAACATCTTGCAATGTTCAGTAGGATGTGCGCGGCGCCAAGGCTAGAGTCACGCTTCGGAAACGAACCGACCTCAAGGAGGAGGAGGAGGGAGGAGGAGGGAGGAAGGTGAGGAAGGAGGGAGGAGGAGGAGGAGGGAGGAGGGACGAAAGGAGGGAGGAAGAGGAGGAGGGAGGAGGAGGAGGAGGGAGGAGGAGGGAGGAGGAGGAGGAGGGAGGAGGGAGGAGGGACGAGAACGTAGAGGGGGAGGGAGGAGGGAGGAGGAAGATGAGGAATCGCGAATCGCGAATCGCGAGCCCTTGCCTCTCCCCTCTCGGGGAGGCCTCGCCCCCTCACCCCCCCCCCCCTGGGGCGTGGCCGCTCTCCGGACCCCCAAGCGCTCGCCATCGCTGGGACGTCCACTCCCCGTGCGTGTTTCGGCGTTCTTGAAGGGGCCCAGGGACACGCAAATAAATACACACAACGAAAGAGATCCTTCATATTTTCCCGTATTCTCTGGGTGTTTGTCTTCCCCCCCACCTCCCATATCTTCCTATCTATGTTTTTTGGGGGGGCATCGACGATTCATTGTGTCCGTGTGTTTTTTCCCTCCTGAGTTCTGCGTGCACTTCTTCGCAAGGTGATAGAAGATGCTCCTCGATGATCCTGGCCGGAGGAAAGTCGGCGGCGATCGAGGGGAGCGGTGAGAAGGAGAAGGCCGTGTCAGAAGGCGGCGGGATTTCTCGGAAGCCCTCGCGCCTTCTGAAACAAAATGTGTGTCTTCGGGGAAGGCGCAGGAAACTTCTCAGAAGGCCGGGGGACTTCCAAGCCTTCTGAGAAGGCCCGCCCCTTCTCATCTCCCCCCCGGGGCTCGCCGCCGAAAAATGCGCACTTCCGAGCGATGCCAAAAGTATGGGATTCTTGTCGTTACGGATCTGCCTCGGAAGGGCTCCGCCGGTACAGGGCCCATGTATAGAAGTCAAAGAAAAAACAGCCCCCATAATCACCACCCCGACACGCGAAGTCGTTTAGTAAACGCGCCCAATGAAGGAATCAAACAGGGCAGGGCTGTTCAGTAAACGCCCAGGACGCCGTTTAGTAAACGCCAATTGTGTCAGGTCCGGGTGGTTTTTCCTCCCTTGAAGATACTCGGCCCGTCGTGCACGGTCCTCCAGCTGCTCCATCCGACCCTCCGTCTCCACACCTGGGCGACAAAGAGAAATGGAACTTACTGCTTACGCGAGATGACCTGGCGGAAGCCGCGGCTCGCGCGGGCCGCTCGCGTGGCACGCCACACTGGAGACGAGGGCGCTTACGCGTGACCATACGCGGGGAGCTTACGCGCCAGTGTTGGCGAAAGCGACCTTGTTTTCTTCCGTCGCTCACCTGAACAGAACACTACGGCTGGACCTAGGACGGAAGAGCATCCGTCAAGAACATGAGACCCTCCGCCAGCCAAGAGGTAAAACATTCGAAGGTACCCTCCCCCAGGGTGCACAAGAACACCCAACAAACACGAAGAACATTACTCCGAATTTCTTAACAAGCGCCGGGGGGGCGTCACCTCCGCCGACAGCCCCACACCGACCCCAGTCGCGGGCAGCCGGCGCGCGCCGAAGGCGCTCCGACCCCGGTCGCGGCGCGACGACGAGGCGAGGTTGAACCCCGTCGGGGGGGGACCCCCCCACACTTAGTTCGGGGGCGCACAAACATGGATTAGCGATCCATGGACTTGGCGCGCGGTCGCCAAATCCATGGATCGGGGGAGGTGCCCTCCCCAAAATGCGGCCGGCGCCGCCTCGTTCAGAGGCGGAACTCCGCGATTTCCCATGGAAACGGGGCCCGTCGCTACTCCACGCCCCCTTAATCCATGTTTGCGATCGCCTGAGAGCAGGGTCCCCCCCCCGAACCCTCGCTCCGATGCCTCGGTCCGACCGTGCCCAGCCAGTGCGACGCTCTCGCCTCTGCGAGGAGGGGGGCCTCGCCGCCAGCGGCCACAGGAGGAGCCCCATGGAGCGGCGCCAGCTGCGCGCGCCGGGGGACCTCCTCGCCTCCCCTGCGGTCGGCGGCGGAAAGAGAGCGGGCAACATCGAGCTCCGAAGAGCGCGCTGCCCTGTGAGGCGATTCCCCCCCCCCAGCGAGGGCCCCCCTCTGTGCGCGCCAATCCCCTGCGGGGGCTTCTCCGGTGCACGCTGTCCCCAAGGTGGGGGACGGCGTGGACAACGCGGGCCCGCGGCGCCGCATCGCACGCCGTCTTGCCCACGCCAACCGTGCGGATTTCTTGTCATTCGAGTCACGCCTCCCCCTCCTTCCCGCCCCCTTCCTTCTCGTACACCCAGGCTCGCTCATACACAGACTCCACACTCAGGCCCACTCATGCCCAGATGCACTCACACTCAGAGATACTAAGACCCAGATGCACCTACACCCTGACCCACTTCTCCCACTCAAAGTTATACTCATCCACACACTCAGGCTCACTCACACAGACCACTCACGATCAGGCTCGCCTCAAACTCAACTTGTGAGACTGTCGCGAGCGAGGCGCTGGCTGCAACACCCCAAGGGGGAGCCGCCAGGGTGTGTTGCACGGGCCCGTCCGCGCCCAACTTGTGGCGACGTCTCAAGCGCTTTGCCTGTTTGCTGGCCTCGGCATCTTTTGCTCTCAGGACAGATTGTGAGGATGTCTCTAGCGGGGCGCTGGTTTCAGCACCACAACAGGGGGAGCCGACAAGGGTTATGTCACGGTCGCGTTCTCGAGCAGATGTTGGGGATGTCTCAGGCAGTCTGCCTGTCTGATGGCTTCAGGGCTGAAGGAAAAAGGGAGTACGACGAGCAGTGCGAGGAGAGGGGTCCTCCTCCCCTCGGCCCCTCCTCCTTCATCCTCCTCATCTTCGTCACTGACTTTGGTTTTACGGTTGTTTGATGACCTCCTTCCTCCTCCCCGCTCCACCTCGATCCTCCTCCTCCTTCTCCTCCTCCTTCTTCTCCTCTTTTTCGTCTGCCTGGGTCCCCGATCCTCCACCCCCTCGATCCTCCTCCTCCTCCTCCTCCGCCCTTCCCCTGTCCTCCTCCTTCTCCTCCTCCTCCTCCTCCTCATCCTGGTCCTCCTTTCCCATGTCCTCCTCCTCCTCCTCCTCCTCCCTTTTCCCTCCCCGCTCCCCCTCCTCCCTCCCCTCCCCCTCCCCCTCTTCCTCCTCTCCTCCTCCTCTCCTCCTCTCCTCCTCTCCTCCTCTCCTCTCCTCCTCCTCCTCCTCCTCCTCCTCCTCCTCCTCCTCCTCCTCCTCCTCCTCCTCCTCCCCCTCCCCCTCGATAGTCGTCGACCTTCCCCCCCTCGACGCGGGCAGCAGGCCGCGGCGGCGGCGGCGGCCGCGACCAGGGCGGCGGCCTCGCGCCGGCAGATGGGGCACAGGGCGACGCGCTCGGCGCAGGCGCGGCAGAGGGCGAGGTGCATGCACGGGTTGAGCACGACTGTGCGGGGGGGCGGCGGCGGGAAGGATTAGGAGGAGGAGGAGGAGGAGGAGGAGGAGGAGGAGGAGGAGGAGGAGGAAGAGGAGGAGGAGGAGGAGGAGGAGGACGAGGAGGAGGAGGAGGAGGAGGAGGAAGGAGGAAGGAGGGAGGAGGGAGCTGCGAGGAAGCTCGTTCGCGAGCTGCACGTCCAAGCCCAGGCCGCAGCCATGGACCGACGCGGACGTTCCGGCGGCGGCCCGCCAGGCGGGGGCACCAACCACGGAGGGTACGGGCCAGGGCGCCGTTACGACAGTCAGCGTCGTGAGCATGAATGGAGGAGCGGGTTCGATGGTTACCATCGCGACTCCGGCAGCTATCGTTCCCAGCATTACGACGGTCGGCATGAAGATGGCCGCGGAGCATCGAGTCGCCGCGACAGCCATGGTTGGCGGCGCCCGCGTTCATGCACTACCTCCAGCTCCGGGGACGAGGAGGAGAAGCGGATCCGCAAGAAGGAGCGGCGTCTTCGCAAGGCCAAGGAGCTCCTCCTGGCGGAAGACGCCCAGTACCGCGCTTGGCATGAAGACCATGAGCGCCGCAAGTCAGAGGAGGCCTTGCGTGCCCAGGGACAGGCATTTGCATCGGCTTTCAACGAGAGGCTTGAAGAGCTGACCAAAGCAGTCCGCAGCGGGGCCGGCGCTGGAGGAGGAGAGGCGGCGGCGCCTGCCGCCGAGCCAGTCCAGGACGACAAGTGGAGCAGCCTACGCATCCGTTGGCTCGCAGCGGAGTTGGGCGGCAACGTGGAGTTCCCGAAGGAGGCCAACAACAATGCCAAGATAATCGAGGTCGTCACGTCAGAGGCTCAGAAGAACAAGGATGTCCGCGACGCTATCCAGGAGCTCCTGCAGAACAACATGGCTGGCAAGCCGATTCCCCGTGCCATCGCGTCCAGGACCAAGATGCTGGTAGAGTGGGCCGCAGAAGCCTGAGTCACCACGCCTGCTGTGACACCTACCAAAACGAGCAGGCCAGCTGATCCTGGGAGGCACGATTCTGTTTGGATCTACTGCTCAGTTTTCGCAGCTTGGGCCATGGGCTGCGCATTCCCAGCTTCGTGGATCGTTCAGAATGGGTATGTGTGCGTACTCCGGGCTTGGTGGGACATGAACGTTCGTCATCGGCAGGCGGCTTACGATGCACGCGCGGTGGTGTCGGCAGGCTTGGAGGCGCTCGGGGACCAGGCATCAGGAGTGACACCAGGGACGATTGCACCATTTCTGGACGGCCCCGTCGGTTCGGTACTTGGGGCCTCGCCCATGGTGTCCAGCCTCGTGATGTTAGGCGGCTGGGTAGCACGGAGACGGCGTCAGTGATGCGACGGTGCAGGGTATGGCGTGGAGAATGTGATGGTTGACTCTTAGGGTCGTCTTGAGGTCTCCTGCGTTTTCCCCACCCGGAGCTTCCAGATGCAGTGAGGGGTGTTTTCTCCAATTCGGCGGGGGTCACGCGCTTGGGTGGGCACGCAAGGCTTGTTCTGATAAGCAGTGGCGGGGATCACGCTACACGCAGGGCTTCAGTAGCAGTTCAGAGTAGCAGGGATGCGGGATTCAAAAGGTATCCGAGGCATCTGGTTCCAAGGTTAGGCCGGCGCTCAAGCACCGTGCAGGTGCGCAGAGATCTCGCTTTGTTTCCAGACGCTTCGTATATGTGCTGGTCTGTGTAATCATCCTCTCATTCTTCACGTTCTACCTCTTCCAGGTTCCAGCTCATTCTTTTGACCACAAGGGAGGAGGGAGGAGGGAGGAGGAGGAAGAGGAGGAGGAGGAAGAGGAGGAAGAGGAAGAAGAGGAGGAAGAAGAGGAGGAGGGGGAGGGAGAGGAGGAGGAGGAGGAGGAGGAGGAGGAGGAGGAGGAGGAGGAGGAGGAGGAGGAGGAGGAGGAGGAGGAGGAGGAGAGGAGGAGGAAGAGGAGGAGGAAGAGGAGTACGAACAGGAGGAGGGGGACGAGGAGGAGGAGGCGGAAAACCAGAGTATACCCAAACTGCACCAACTGATGCTGCAATATACCTTCCCGTCCGAAACCCTCTTCGTAAACCCATATGAATAATCATTTATGTTGCGGTCCCTCCTGTTGAATTACGAGCGGCGGGTCAGTCCGCCAGTCAGTAGAAAACGCCTGTTGGAAGGGATTTTCGCTCCGTTTGAAAAACGCCCACGGTAGCTTCATCTTGACAAGCACACGACCTCCATCCCTCTAGACGTTGCAGGATGTCAAAATCGTGGACGTCTGCTCCGAGGAAGTCCCACGCGAAAGCCTTCAGAAGGGCTCAAAGGGTCACCACAATTTGAGAAGGACGCGTCGTCCATTCGTGACGTTGCAAAATCGTCAAACTCGTTGCAGAATTCTCACGCGAGGAAGCCGTTTCGAAAGAGGAACCGCCCTCCATCTGTGATGGGTACTCCACGCCACGCCATGGAACGCCGGGTTGCCCAGGTCGATGAAGGGTCAAACGAGCGTGGATGCTCAGATGCAGTGGGGGGCGTTCGTTAAGGAACGTGCCCAGGAGTCTGCAGACCCAGGCGGGTTTCTGATCCGAGAAGGGCGGCGGTGATATCCATGGCCGATCCACGATTGGATTTCCGCTGGCGCTCTCAGACCACGTATTCCTTATCCGACGACTCGTTGTCCAATGCCCCCACCGTCTTGGAATAAAAACTCGCCATCCACTCGCGCATACAATTACACGTTGGACACCGAGTATGCACGGCGCCAGGACGATCGCTTCTTTGTTTGAAAACGGCCCGACCTCTATCTGCTGTTTTTGGTTGTGTGAAACGACGGTGTGCGGCGCCAGAAGACCGTTTCTGGTCCAAGCGCCAACGCAATCCGAAGTCGTCTGCTCCTTGAGGCCTCCTGCGGCGACGAGAACGATGCAGATGAAGATGTGGATGTTACTGCTGCTGGTGGCGACGGCGGGCCTCGGAGCGCTGGGAGAAGGATCGTAGCGCTTGGGGTCGCATCCTGGGTTTACCTCTGGAAAATTGGTGGCTCTGGAGGATGTGTCGGGCGCCGCGGCCTCTTCAGAGCGTTCACGCTCTGAGAGCCTCCCGGAACGCTCTGGAACGGATTTCTGCTCGTCCTGGCCCCGTCGGGCAGAGGCCGATCGTAACCAAGAACTGGCGGCCCCGACGTTTCTCGGAGCCCCGAATCTCTGGGCCGCCGATCCCACCGCGGGCCTTCCCGACCTTCCTCGCGGCACACTCAGCACTCGGCCCTCCCTCGTCCCTCCTCCTCCCTCCTCCCCCTCCCTCTTCCCTCCCTCTCCTCCCTTATCCCCCTTTCTCCTCCTTGCCTTTCCTCCCTCTTCCTCCTTGCCTATCCTCCCTCCTTCTCCTCCTCCTCCTTCTCCTCCCCCTCCTCCTCCTTCTCCTCCATCCTTTCTCCTTGTAAACAAACTCCTCCCTGCCGTGCCCACAGACATGTCGGTAGGGCGGACCATGAGCTTCGCCTGAGACTTTCTCGCCATTTATTATCTTGAAGCTTGAAATGTCCAACGGCTTCATGGATGAGGGCGTGCGGTTTTCAAAATGCGCATATCGCCTCAACGCCGCACGCATTCGTCTTAAAAGCTTGCAACAACTTCACGGATGGAGGGCGGGCCGTTTTCAGAGTGCGGCTTTCGCCTGAGCGCCACGCACAGTCGTCTAAAACGTTTGCAGCAGCTTCACGGATGGAGGGCGGATGGTTTAAACTATGTGGCTCTCGCCTCAGCGCCGCGCACACTCGTGTTAAACTTTTGCAGCAACTTCGCGGATGGCGGGGCGTGTTCTAACTGTGGTTCTCGCTTTAGCGCCGCGCACCATCGTCTTCAACACGTGCAGCAACTTTACGGGTGGAGGTCGGATGTATTTCAACATGTGGTCCTCGCCTTAGCTCCGAGCGCAGTCGTCTCAAATATGTGAAACTTTTTCGCAGATGGGGGGCGGTTCTTTTCGAAACGTAGCTGTCGGCTGAGCGCCGCGCGTGCTTAACCTGACTGTCAAGAGGCGCTAAGGACTCGCATGGTTGATGTTCCAGGAATGTTATCCTGGCACGAGTAAGGATTGTGAGGGCGCAGCGGGCAAACTGATTCGGAGCATTGTAGTTCCAGGAATGGTGTTTGGCACGACTCAATATCGACAAGACGCAAGCGCCGCGTAGATCCACGACGCTGAACTCGCAAGAGCTGTGCCTCGGCACGAGTGAACATCATCGAACGATTGTTCTACAGGGCCGCCTCCCGCGGTGCTAGTAACCTGCTTTGAAGGGCCTGTGAAAAGGGGGAACTTTGAAGGGGCCCTGGGACACACAAATAACTACACACATATAAAATGGTTCCCCATATTTTCCCATATTTCCTGGGTTTTTCTCTTCCCGCCCAATTCCCATATTTTTCTATATTTTCTGGGGAATCGACGATTAATTGTGTCTGTGTGTTTTTTCCCTCCTGGAACTTGGAGGGAGGCTTCCTTGCAACATCGTCGCTGCAATTTGGGCCGGCGCTGGTCGTGCGCACCCGCCACTGGACGTCCTCCCCCCCGTCCCCTTTCCGTTTCTCCCCCCCCCCCCTGCTCCTCCTCCGCCTCTCTGCGTGCAGTGGCACCAGCTGCGGCGTGATTGCCATCTGCGAGGCTGCGAAGGCTGCCTGTGAGAACAAGCGAGCAGGGGCCAGCCAACAACATTTTTCTTCAGCGACACCGTTCGGGGCCGCTCTTGCGCGGAAGTGTGCGAGCAAAAACTGGCCGAGATCAGCTGTGTCGTCGGAGACACGGTTGGGAACAGGTCCTGCGAGAGAGCAGGCAGTGGCAACAGGGACTGTCCCTGGGAGGGTGCGAAAAAAAAGCAGGGAATGGCAGCAGCGGCTGTCAATGCCCGATGGCCACGGAAGAGCGACATGTTCGGATACATTGCAGCGGGGGTCAGCTCGTGCGAGACAGCGGGCAGTGGAAGCAACTGTGTCGGTGCGAGACAGCAGGCAGTGGCAGCAGCGGTTGTCGGTGCCACGTGGCAGCGCGGGAGCAACAGCCTCAGCCACATTATCGCGTGGGCCAGGTTGTGCGAGAAGGGTCTGTGGGAAAAACACACTGTGGGAAAAACACACAAAAACACACTGTGGGAAAAACACAGCAACTGGCAACTGGCAGTCAGGTCTGCCGGTGCGAGAAGGAAGGCAATTCCGAACAGCGGCTGTTGATGCCCGTGGGCTAGCTCGTGCGAGGAGGCAGGCAGTGGCAGCAGAGCGTGTTGGCGTGAGAAAGAAGGAATGGGCAACAGCGGTTGTCGGCGCCCGCCGATGCGACAACAGCACCCCTATCAGCTACAATGTTGCGGGGGTCAGCTCGTGCCGGGCACAGCTGGTGCGCGCAGACAGGCACTGGCAGCGGGAGCTGGCGCTGCGAGAAAAACGAACGTGGCAGCGGGGTTGGCACTGCGTGCAGAGGGAAGCGCGCATGCAAACGCCACCAACTACAACGCTGGGATCAGCCCGTGCGAAATGGCAGATTCTCCCACGAAGGGCAGCAGGCGGCTGTGTGCGCCCGTGTGCTCAGCAGGCCGCCGCACAAGGCTGTGCTGCCGAAGGACGTGGCTCGACAGATGGGCCGACACCTGGGGGTGCCCATCCCCCGCTTCGTCGCTCCTCAACACCAGCTGGGCCCTCGTCGCCACGTGAGAGAAACGGAACGGGGAGAAGAAAACCCAACTGCGCGCCATTAAACTCCTGCTCCTCCGTCTTTCCCTCCTCCTCCCACCCCTCTTTCCCTTGTAAACAACTCCTCCCTGTCGCACCCCTGGACGTGTCGGTACAACGGGCCTGGCTTCTCGCCTCAGACATCCTCGACACTAACGGTTCTGAAGCTTGAAATGTGCAATAGCTTGACAGATGGAGGGCGGGTGGTTTTCAAAATGTGGCCCTCGCCTTAGTACCGCGCGCATTCGTCTTGAACATTTGCAACCAATTCACGGATAGAAGGCGGATGGTGTTCAACACGTGGCTCTCGTTTTTCGCTGCAGACCTTCGTCTTAGAACAATGTAGCAGTTTCACTGGAGGGCGGGAGATTTAAAACATGTGGCTCTCTCCAGAGCACCGCGAGCAATCGCCTTCAACGTTTGCAACAACTTCACGGATCGAGGGCGGGTTGTTTTCAACATATGGGTCTCACGTCAGCGCCGCGCACATTCACCGTGCACGTTTACAGCCGTTTCGAAGATGGAGGGCGCCTCCATTTCAAAATGTGGCTCTCGCTTTAGCGTCGCGCGCATTCGTCTGCAAGTTTGCAACAGCTTCAAGGATGGAGGGCAATTCCTTTTCAGAATGAGGTTGTCGCTTTTGCGCCGCGCACATTCGTCTTACAAAGTTGCAACAATCTCAATGACTCGAATCGTCGAAACCCCAAGAACGACGTAGTGCTATGTTTCAAGATTTTCGGGGCGCAACAATCACGATGATCCGCGACTTTGAAGGCCCAAGAACTTTGTTTAGGCACGGCTTAGGATTGCCCAAACTCAGCAATCATGTTAATCCGCGAAGTTGACGCCCCAGGGACAGCATGCTAGCACGATTTGGGGAGTGACAGGACGCAGCAGGAACGTTGATCCGCGGCGTTGACGTCCCAGGAACATTGCTTCACTCGATTTCGGGTTGCCCGGGGCGATGGCGTCCCAAGAACGTTTTTTTTGGCACGATCGGGGATTCTCAGACGGGCATCTTCTGATGGGCCACTTCCGACCCTGCGAAACAGGAGCTTGAAGGGAGGCCGTTTTGAAACATCGTTGATGCACCTTGGGTTTACATTGGTCCTTCTCCCCCTCCTCCTCCTCCTCCTCCTCCTCCTCCTCCCCTCCGTAAGTAAGCCTTCCCTCCTCCTCCGTCTCCTCCTCCTCCTCCTCCGTCTCCCCCCTATCCTCCTCCTCCTCCTCCTCCTCCTCCTCCTCCGTCTCCTCCTCCGTCTCCTCCTCCGTCTCCACCTTCCTCCTCCTCCCTCCACCTCCTCCTCGTCCTCCTCGCCCTCCCTCTTCCTCCTCCCTCGTCCTCCTCCTCCTCCTTCACCTCCTGCTCCTCCTCTTCCTCCTCCTGCTCCTCCGTCTCCTCCATCTCCTCCCTCCTCCTCCTCCTTCCCTCCGTGGGCCTTCCCGATCCTCCTCGCGACACACGCAGCACTTGGCCCTGCCCTCCAGCTCGGCGGACACGCGCCGCAGCGACTCGGCCAGGTCCTGCAGGCGGGGCGGCAGGCGGGGGCTAGCGCCGCCCCGCTGGGGTGGGCCTTGGAAAACGAGGACGAGGCGGAGGAGGAGGCGGAGGAGGAGAACGGGGATGATAACGAGGAGGCGGGGGAGAAGGAGGAGGAGGAGGAGGAGGAGGAGGAGGAGGAGGAGGAGGAGGAGGATGAAAACGCGGAGGCGGAGGCGGAGAACGAAGAGGCTTTCATCCGCGGCGCTGCCCCCTCGTTTCGGCCAGACCTCCGGGGGTCACTTCATGACGCACACGTCGTCGGCGGTCTCTGGAGGAGGAGGAGGAGGAGAAGGAGGAGGAGGAGGAGGGGGAGGAGGAGGAGGAGAAGGAGGGAGAGGGGGAGGAGGAGGACGGGCCGCTTATCCGGTCGGGCCCCAGGGCCATCAGAAATAGGCCCACGATGCCAAACTACGCCGACTGAAGGTGTCGGGGGGTCTAAACTGAAATACAACACGTCAATTGCAGTGCTGGCGCAACGGCCAAGGAGGCGTCTGTCCTATCGGGTCGGGCGAAAGGGGGGGATAGCGAAGGGGGGGTTTGAGAATCAGCTCACGTAGCTGATTTTCCCGGCGCCAGAGGCGCCCATGTATCGAGGCATGGGCCCCTCGGTGGAGCCGAAACCAGCTGCATGCAGCAAATTTCGTAACCCCTCCTTTCCCAATCCCCACCTTTCGTCCGGCCCGATCCTAGCCGCCGCGGGATTGAATCAAGGTTGCAGTCGCAACATTCACGTGGCAACTCCGAGTACGTCGCTTCACCGTTGTCCTCCATGCGGGCTTCTTGCATCGTGCCGGGCCAATGAAGATACCGAGGGCCGCGGACAGGAGGAGGAGGAGGATGAGTAGGTGGAGGAGGAGTTGCCTGGGGAGAAGGAGCCTGGGGAGAAGAAATGTGAGGATCATGAGAATGTCCGCGCGGCCGCGCGGATGTCTGGATCTGCGTTGGGCACTTCTGGCGCCGCTTCTGGCGCAGCCCCTGGAGCGCTCCGCGCGCCAGGGAGGGGGGTCCAGCGCAGATCCAAGAAAGCTTGCGCTTGCGCCTCCTGAGTCCTCGATTTCACGTGCGGCGAGGGCGAGGATACTTGAAGACGAGGAGGGCGGGCGAAGGCGAGGCAGAAGACTGGATGATGGAGGAGAGTGCGGCCAGTGAAGGGGCCCATGAACACACACACACATAAATACGCGCACATCTCAAGATTCCCCACAGTTTCTTATATATTTTCTGTGTTTTCGTTTCCCCCCCTTCCCATATCTTCCCATGCTTTCCTGGGGATGGACGATTACTTGTGTCTGTGTTTTCTCTCCTCCTGAAGGGAGTCTAGAAGCGCGGCCTTCGCTGACTCTGGGCTTCGCAAAATGCCCGAGGGCTCTCCGGGCCCGTCGGGAGATCCGCCGACACCCGCTTGCCAGGGGCGACAAGGCGTGTGAGACGCTTGGCTGTCCAAGGAGGGTCAGGAGGAGGAGGAGGAGGAGGAGGAGGAGGAGGAGGAGGAGGAGGAGGAGGAGGAGGGAGGGGAGGGGAGGGGGAGCGGGAGGGGCAGGGGGGGGAGGGGGAGGGGGAGGGGGAAGGGGAGGGGAGGGGGAGGGGGAGGGGGAGGAGGACAATCTAGGTGCGCTCGCGTCATATCTGACGTCCTACCCCTCCCTCCCATCCCTTACCATGGCGCTGATTTTCTCTATCCGCGGACGCGTGTCGTAGCGGACCTGTGGCTCCGCGCGCGCGTGCGTAGTGGGTGGTGGTGCGCGTGCGTGCGTGCGTGCGTGTGTGCGTGAATGTGGTGGTGGTGGTGGTGGTGGTGGTTGTGGTGGTGGTGGTGGTTGTGGTGGTGGTGCTGGTGGTGGTGGTGGTGGTGGTGGTGGTGGTGGTTGTGATGGTAGTGGTGGTGGTGGTGGTGGTGGTGGTGGTGGTGGTGGTGGTGGTGGTGCGGCGCGGTGGTGGCGGGCGGATGGGCGCGCGAGAAAGAGGCCCGCGCTGGGGCGAGAACGCCATCCTGAACGACGGAGGCCAAACACCGATCCGAAAATGAGGCCCACGCTGCAGCGGGAGCACGATTCGGAACGATTCGGGAGCAGAAATGAGGCCGGCGCCTCAGCGAGAGCAGCATTTTGAAAAAAACGCAGGCGAAAACCCGTTTCCCGGGAATCCTGTGTGTAAAAAACAATACGCGGGGGGGGGTCGGCCATCTTCGGACGCCATCAGGGGAAGTGGGAGAGTACTTTCATATTGTGTAATTGTTGAATAATTGTGGAGGGGGAGGGAGGAGGAGGAGGAGGAGGAGGAGGAGGAGGAGGAGGAGGAGGAGGAGGGAGGAGGAGGAGAGGAGGAGGAGGAGGAGGAGGAGTCCGGCCCGACCCTCCCCCCCCGCACCGGGCCAGAGAGAATCCCCCCCAGACAGATCCCCAGCGGCACCGCGCTGGGCCTCCACAAGAGGGCCACCACGCGGCCCGCCGAGCGTCCGCAGCGCACGGGCGCCGCGCAGGCGTGTGGCGCACGAGGGGGGAGGCGTCGGAGGAGGGCGAGCTGAGACTCCCCCTCCTCCTCCTCCTCCTCCTCCTCCTCCTCCTCCCCTCCTCCTCCTCCTCCTCCACCTCCTCCTCCTCCCTCCTCCTCCTCCTCCTCCTCCTCCTCACTCTCCTCCTCCTCCTCCTCCTCCTCCTCCTCCTCCTCCTCCTCCTCCCCCTCCTCCTCCTCCTCCTCCTCCCTCCCTCCTCCCTCCCTCCCTCCCTCCCTCCCTCCCTCCCTCCCTCCCCTCCCTCCTCCCTCCTCCCTCCTCCTCCTCCCTCCCTCCCTCCCTCCCCTCCCTCCCTATCCCTCCCTCCCTCCCTCCCTCCCTCCCTCCCTCCCTCCTCCCTCCTCCCTCTCCTCCTCCTCCCTCCTCCCTCCTCCCCCCCCTCCTCCCTCCTCCCTCCTCCTCCTCCTCCTCCTCCTCCTCCTCCTCCTCCTCCTTCTCCTCACTCTCCTCCTCCTACATATCTGTGTTTCCTCGGGCAACTCAAAATCGGCCCCCGGACCCCTCACGGGGTCAAAACGCACCAGCACTTCTTCCGGGCCGCGTCCTGCCGCGGCGACGAGGGGGCCCCTCGAACTCACAGCAGAAAACACTGCGTTCAGATAATCTGTCGGAGATCCGCAGAGAGAGTCCCCAGATCGGCGCTGCACCCCCTCTCTCTGGCGCGCGGAGCGAGCCATGGGCGGCGCCGGAGGCGCCTGCAGGGGGGGTCCAGCGCCGATCCGAAACATTCGCGCGGACCGCCGAGCAAAAGCAAGTTTACGTGGTTTCTTATCATGCTCCTCCTCCTCCTCCCTTCCTCCTCCTGCTTCTTCTTCTTCGTTTTCTTCTTCTTTCGGTTGACGGCCACCTATCGTTATGTCGGGCGTGTCCCCCTACAGGGGGATTTTCGATGAAAAAAAGCATACCCCCAAAATACCCCCCAAAGGCACAAATATTCAAAAAATAGTCCCCAGACTATTTTCGGAGTATTTCTTGGTTATTTTTTTGGTATCTTTTATTCTTCGTCGAAAATCCCCCTGTAGGGAGGGATGAACAAAAACGACCCTACCCTGGATTACAAGTGCGTGGTCTGTAAACCTCCTGGGAACCCCAAAGCCTAGAGCCGCCAGGACGCGGCACATCACGCAGGGTTTACCCTGTCAGCCCACAGGAGGTTCAGAGCACAGCGCCTCGTAAACCAGGGTAGGGGCGTGTTTTCTGCCCTTGATGTAGGGGGACAGGCCCGACTTAAAACTGTCGGTGTATCAACTCGCCCTCCTCTGAAGGAGGTGGACTCGCCATCGCTCGGACGTCCATTTCCTGTGTTTACCTAACAGCTTTTGCTGATAGGTTTCTAGTGGTCTCAAAAGAGAGCATCATGACTCCTCAGGGGGGTCGGGGCGGGACCCGGGGCGGTGCCGCCGAAGCCGAAATCGCTTGGGACATCCTCGCAAAATCGCTCTTGGTGCTCCCAGAACTCCATTCCCGGGCTACATTTTGGATGCCTGGAGCCAACTGTAGGCCACTTCGTGCTCTTCGACTTCCCAGAACTCCATTCCCGGGCCACATTTTGGATGCCCGGAGCCAACTGTGGCCACTTCGTTCTCTTCGATTTCCCAGAACTCCATTCCCGGGCCACATTTTGGATGCCCGGAGCCAACTGTAGGCCACTTCGTGCTCTTCAAGTTCCCAGAACTCCATTCCTGGGCATGATTTTGAATGCCCGGAGCCAACTGTAGGCCACTTCGTGTTCTTCTAGTTCCCAGAACTCCATTCCTGGGCCACATTTTGAATGCTGAGGCAGGCTGATGCTGCGGCCGAGGCAGGCTGAGGCTGAGGCAGGCTGAGGCTGAGGCCGAGGCTGAAGGCAGACTGAGGCTGAGGCTGAAGCAGGCTGAGGCTGAGGCTGAGGCAGGCTGGCAGGCTGAGGCTGAGGCTGTGACTGCGACTGCCGTTGCCGCTGCGACTGTCATCGCGAATGCGACTACGACTGCGAGAACAGCAGAATTCTACAACTGGATTTTCATCTGAATCTTAAGGGGAATGCTTTCAGATATGCTTCTACACATCGCTGTTAGGTTGCTTTGCCGGGATATTTTTTTTGGTTTCGTGCGTGTTTTTTTTTTTTTTTTTTTTTTTTTTTTGCAAAATGATCAAGGATGCTTCTCGATGGTCCTCGCCGAAGGAAAAATCCACACGTCCGAGCGATGCCAAGTGGAGGGAATCGCGGGGCGGACGACGACAGCGAGGCTGCCGCCGCGAGGCCGACCTCGGCGCGGACCCGGCCGCCCGCCGGGGCCCCGTCGGGGCCGAGGGCGCCCCGTCGGAGCCTCCGAGGGGCCGCCAGAGGCCCCCGCCGAGGGCCGCCAAAGGCCCCTAACGGCCGCCGGGAGCCTCCCCGCCGAGGGCCGCCGAGGCCGCCGAGGGCCGCCGAGGGCCGCCGCCGAGGCCGCCGCCGAGGGCCGCCGCCGAGGCCGCCGCGGGCCCACGAGGGCCGACCCGGGCCGCCGCGCGCCGCCAGAGGCAGCGGCGGGCGAGGGCGGTCTCGCTGGAGCTGGTGCAGCCGGGCGTTGCTGAGCAGCGCCAGCTCCCGGGGGCAGCCCCGCAGGCGATCCACGTCCCTGCGCGCGTCCTGCGGCGGCCAAGGCTGCGGCTGCTCGCCGGAAGACGCCGCCCGCCGCCGCGCCGCCGCCGCCGTCGTCGCCGCCGGCGTCGTCGTCGTCGTCGTCGTCGTCGTCGGCGGCGGCGGCGGCGGCGGCGGCGCGTCGCCGGCGACGACGGCAGAAGTCACGGTAACGACAACGACGATGGAACGAAGACGACGACGGCGACGGCGACGACGATGACGCCGCCGACGCCGACGGCGGAACGACAGCGGCGACCCCGGTTGTCGGCGTCGTCGTCGTCGTCGTCGTCGTCGTCGTCGAACGATGTCGGAGTCGTCGCCGGCGTCGCCGTCGTCGTCGTCGCAATCAGCGTCGTAGTCATAATTGCCGTCGTCGTCATCGTCGTCGTCGTCGCCGTGTCGTCTTCGGCGCCGTCGTCGTCGCCGTCGTTGTCGTCGTCAGAGTCGTCGTTGTTTCGTCGTTGGCCATGTCATCGTCGGCGTCGTCGTCGTCGCTTCGTCGTTGGCGCCGTCGTCCTCGTCGTCGTCGTCTTCGTCGTCGTCGTGGGCGTCGTCGATGTTTTGTCGTCGGCGCCGTCGTCGTCGTCGTCGTCGTCGTCGCCGCCATCGTCGTCGCCGTCGTCGCCGTCGCCGTTGTCGTCGTTGTTCTCTTCGTCGTCGTCGGCGGTGTCGTCGTCGTCGTCAATTCGTCGGCGTCGTCGTCGTCGCAGTCGGCGTCGTAGTCATCATGGTCGTCGTCCTCGTTATCGTTTCGTCGTCGGCGTGTCGTTGTCGTCGTCGGAGTCGTCGTCGGCACAGTCATTGGCGTCGACGCCGTCGGCGTCGCTGGCGCCGGAGTCGGTGTCGTCGTCGTCGTCGCCGTCGTCGTCGTCGCCGTCGTCGGCGACGTGGTCGACGTCGTCATCGTCGTCGGCGTCGTCGATTCGTCGTCGCCGGTGTCTTCGCCGGCGGTTCGTCGGCGGCGCACCCATCGACGTCGTCGTTGTCATCGTCGTCGTCGACTTTGTCGTCGTCGGCAGCGGTGGAGGCGTCGTCGTCGTCGTCGGCCTCGTGGTAGTTTCGACGTCGGCGCCACCGTCGGCGTCATCATCGTATCGTCCACGTCGACGCCGTCGTCGGCGCCGTCGTCGCCGTCGTCGTCGTCGCCGTCTCCGTCGGCATCGGCGCCGGATTCGTCGACGGCGCCGTCGTCGGCGTCGACGCCGTCTGTGTCATCGGCGTGCGTCGTCGTAATCGTCGTCGCCGTCGTCCCCGTCCTTCTCGCCGTCTCGTCGTGGGCGCCGTCGTCTTCGTCGTCGGCGCCGACATCGGCGCCTTCGGCGTCGTCGGCGACATCGTAGTCAACGTCGTCGTCGTCGTCGTCGTCGTCGTCGTCGTCGTCGTCGTCGGAGTCGTCGTCGGCGCCGTCGTTGGCGTCGACGCCGTCGCCGTCGGCGTCGTCGGAGTCGTCGTCGGCGTCGGCGTCGGCGTCGTTGTCGTCGTCGTCGCCGTTGTCGGCCTCGTCGTCGTCGTCTTTTCGGCGCCGTCGTCGTCGCAGTCGTCGTCGTCGAACGATGTCGGAGTCGTCGCCGGCGCCGCCGTCGTCGTCGTCGTCGTCGTCGTCGTCGTCGTCGTCGTCGTCGCAGTCAGCGTCGTAGTCATAATTGCCGTCGTCATCGTCGTCGTCGTCGTCGTCGCCGTGTCGTCTTCGGAGCCGTCGTCGTCGCCGTCGTTGTCGTCGCCGGAGTCGTCGTTGTTTCGTCGTTGGCCATGTCATCGTCGGCGTCGTCGTCGTCGCTTCGTCGTTGGCGCCGTAGTCCTCGTCGTCGTCGTGGCGTTGGCGGCGCCGTCATCGTCGTCGTCGTCGGCGTCCTCGTCGTCGTCGTCGTCGTCGGAATCGTCGTCCTCGTATCGTCGATGGCGCCGTCGTCGGCGTCGTCACCGTCATGATCGGCGGCGCCGTCGTCGTTATCTTCGTCGTCTTCGTTGTCGTTGTTTCGTCGTGGGCTCTGTCATCTTCGTCGGCGTCGTCGTTTCGTCGTCGTCGACGTCGCCACTTCGCCGTCGCGGGGTCGACATTGTTTCGTCGTTGGCGCCGCCGTCGTCGCCGTCGTCGACGATGCCGTTGTCGTCATCGTTGTCGTCGCCGTCGTCGTCGTCGTCGTCGGCGTCGTCGTCGTCGTCGGCGTCCTCGATGTCGTCGTCGGCGTCGTCGCTGGCGCCGACGCCGTCGTCGCTCCGTCGTCGGCGTCGTCATCGTTTCGCCTTCCTCGTCCTCGTCGTCGTACTCGGGTCCGTCGTCGCCGTCTTTTCGCCGTCGTCGTCGTCGTCGTCAGAGTTGTAGTCGTCGTCAACGTCACCGTCGGCGTCGTCGTCGTCATCGCCCGCGTCGTCGTCGTCGTATTGTTGTCGTCGGCGCCGCCGTCGTCGTCGTCTTCGGAGTTGTGGTCGGCGCCATCGTCGGCGTCGACGCCGTTGGCGTCGTCGGCGTCGGCAGCATCGTCGTCGTCGTTTCGTCGTCTGCGCCGTCGTCGTCGTCGGCGGCGTTTCGACGTCGGCGTCGTCGTCGTTTCGCCGTCGCCATCGTCGTCGCCATCGTCGTCGTCGCCGACGTCGCCGCCGTCGTCGTCGTCGTCGTCGGCGTCGTCGTCGTCGTCGGCGCCGTAGTCGTCGTCGTCGGCGTCGTCGGCGTCGTCGTCGTCGTCGTCGACGTCGACGTCGACGTCGACGTCGTCGTCGGCATCGACGCTGTTGGCGTCGTCGTCGTCGTCGTCGCTCCGTCATCGTCGTCGTCGGCGTCGTTAGCGCAGTCGTCGTCGTAGGCGCTGTCGTCGTCGTTGTCGTCGCCGTCGTCGTCGTCGCGGTCGTCGTCTTCGGCGTCGTCGTCGTCGTCGTCGTCGTCGGCGTGGTCGTTTCGTCGGCAGCGCCGTCGTCTTCGTTGTCGGCGTCCTTTCGTCGGCGTCGTCGTCGTCGTCGCCATCACCATCGTCGTCGTCGTCGTCGTCGTCGTCGTCGTCGTCGGCGCTGACCGCGGTGGCGCTCCTCGGCCTCCGCCTGGGCGGCCGCAAGGCGCGCCGCGTCGCACGCGGCCGCAGCCGCGGCGGGCTCGGCGCCGCTGGATTCGGTGCCGCGCAGGCTCGCGTCCAGGGCGGAGTGCGCAGCGGAGAGCGCCTCCGCTGGCGTCGGCGCCGCCGCCGCCGGAGTCGCCGCTGCCACCGCCTTGGCGTCGTTGGCGTCGCCGTCGTCGGCGTCGCTGGCGCCGGCCCTTTTCGTCGTCGGCGGCGTCGGCGGCGTCGTCATCGTCGTTCCATGGTCGCTGAGAGCGCCGTCGTTTTTAGTCGTCGAGGTGGCTCCCGCCATGATAGGTTTCAAGGCCGTGTGCACTCGTCCTGCTCAGAGAAAGCAGGGGCCGCGATTTCACGCCATCTTCGAACAAAAAAAAATGACTGCCCGAAGAGCCTCCTTACCAAACAGGAGGAAAGGCGATCTAGGCTTCGGCGCGTCGTACCGAGTGCCGTGGTCTCCTGGGCTTTCGATTACGGCTCTCGACATCAGCAGGGCGGGCGCTGCCTGTCAGAACCTCTCCTCCTCCTCCGCCCAAGAATTTTGGCCCAATCCACCCCGCCTCATCCTCCTACTCCTCCTCCACCTCATCCTCCTCCTCCTTTCCTGGTGGCCTAATCCACTCCGCCTCCTCCTCCAAACTCCTCCTCCTCCTCCTCCTCCTCCTCCATCTCCTTCCTTCCTGGTGGCCTAATCCACCCCTCCTCCTCCTCCTCCTCCTCCTCCTCCTCCTCCTCCTTCTTCAACTCCAGTCGCCCGGTGCCCGCCGTCCAGCTTCTCAGCGGAGGGACCAGGGCGGAGGAGATTGACCATAGGCCAAAGGGTGACGAAAATACTGTGGCCGTCGGAGCCTAAAGGTGTCCGGTTGGGTCGGGTCGGCCAACCCCTTGTCTTCCCACTTAAGCTGTGATAGCCATATTCATCCTCCACCTCATGGTCCATCATAAGAGTAATAAAAGTATTACTAGTAGTAATAATACTAATAACAAGAAAAAGAGGAGATAACGACGAAGATGGCGACGCCTACCCAAACCACAGGGCCCCGCAAGCGGAGGCATTGGCATGCCCAAGAGAATTGCAATCATGGGTCGAGGAGGATGTGGGAGAGGAGGAAGGGGTAGACCTTGCAGACCGACAGGGGGCCCGCCTTGCCAATCCCTGGCTCCGATGACGTTGTGCATTTTTGTTAACGTGTACGCGCATATTGGCAGTGAGGTCGAGGCGAAAGGTGGCAACCTCGCTTATGGCCAAAAGCGCACTAGTAAGGCAATGGACGCTTGTGTGCCGATTTGTAGACGCGTTTTTGGGTGGAGGGAACTTGCCATGGTGGTAAAATGTCCGCTCCGTGAGGATATTGACGTCTCAAGGCTTCGATTCAATGCGCATCTGCGGTGTTACAGCATTCGTGAACTACATTTTATGAACGCTCCGTGCATGCGTGTTCACAGACGGATTGTCGATGCTGTTCAGTTCGACGCAAGCGAGAGGTCCGACTTGAGAGTGCGCATTGAGTTTAGCATTCCTTCGATCGGCTGCAAACTTGTGAAACGCAGGCTCAGGTACTGGGGCAAATTGGAAGGGCCCCTTTCGCACCCGCTGAAGGCCATGCTGTCGCTCCGGGACAAAGCTGGACGGCCAGTACTCCACTGGGCTCAGCAGGCCGGCGAGGACTTGAGACTGCTGCGTGAAAGGATTGCCCTTGAGTCGGGCGTGTCCCCCTACAGGGGGATTTTGGACGAAGAATAAAACATAATCCAAACATGCCCCGACGATCGTCCCCTGACTATTTTTTGACTATCTCTCGCGGCGGAGCCGGGTGAACTTCCGTGCCCGCCGGTGACTGACTGACTGACTGACTGACTCACTCACTCACTGACTAAATAACTGACTGATTTACCGACTGAACGTCAGGGGGGCGCCTTGGACAACAACACATTTCAAACCCCCCGCGGGCGCGCATTTGCAACTGGGCGACACATTTCGACCAGTCCGCGGGCGCGCAACCGCAACCGCAACTGGGCGACACATTTCAACCCGCCCGCGGGCGGGCGCGCAGCCGCAACCGCAACTACGCGACACATTTCGACCCGCCCGCGGGCGCGCAACCGCAACTGGGCGCCGCATTTCAAACCGCCCGCGGGCGCGCAACCGCAACCGCAACTGGGCGACACATTTCGACCTGCCCGCGGGCGAGCAACCGCAACGCATCTGGGCGACGCATTTCTACCCGCCCGCGGGCGCGCAAGTGCAACCGCAACTGGGCGACGCGTTTCAAACCGCCCGCGGGCGCGCAAGCGCAACTGGGCGACGCATTTCAACCCTCCCGCGGCAACAGCAACTACGCGACGCATTTCGACAGCCCGCGGGCGCGCAACCGCAACTACGCGACGCATCTCGACCCACCCGCGGGCGCGCAACCGCAACCGCACCTGGTCGACGCATTTCAACCCGCCCGCGGGCGCGCATGCGCAACTGGGCGACGCATGTCAACCCGCCTGCGGGCGCGCAACCGCAGACGCAACTACGCGACGCATTTCGACCGCCCGCGGGCGCGCAACCGCAACCGCACCTAGGCGACACATTTCAAACCGCCCGCGGGAGCGCAAGCGCAACTGGGCGACACATTTCAGACCGTCCGCGGGCGCGCAAGCGCAACCGCAACTGGGCACCGCATTTCGACCCGCCCGCGGAAACGCCGCCGCAACCGCAACTGGGCGACACGTTTCAAACCGCCCGCGGGCGCGCATCCGCAAACTGGGCGCACATTTCAATCCGCCCGCGGGCGCGCAACCGCAACCGCAACTGGGCGCCACATTTCGACCCGCCCGCGGGCGCGCAACCGCAACCGCAACTGGGCGACGCATTTCGACCGCCCGCGGGCGCGCAACCGCAACCGCAACTGGGCGCCACATTTCGACCCGCCCGCGGGCGCGCAACCGCAACCGCACCTGGGCGACGCATTTCAACCCGCCCGCGGGCGCGCCAGCGCAACCGCACCTGGGCGACTCTTTTCAACCCGCCCGCGGGCGCGCAACCGCAACTGGGCGACGCATTTCAACCCGCCCGCGGGCGCGCAACCGCAACTGGGCGACGCATTTGAACCCGCCCGCGGGCGCGCAACCGCAACCGCAACTGCGCGACGCATTTCGACCACCCGCGGGCGCGCAACCGCAACCGCACCTGGGCGACGCATTTCAACCCGCCCGCGGGCGCGCAAGCGCAACTGGGCGACGCATTTCAACCCGCCCGCGGGCGCGCAACCGCCACCCCGACTGGGCGACGCATTTCAGGAGACTGAGCTGTTTCTGGAGCTCCGGCTTAGCAGACGGGCGTCGTTTGCCGCGCCCCCCCCGCGCGGTTGCCCCCCTGGACCTCGGGGCGCCCCCATTCCCTGAGAACCGACGGTGCGGCGAAAGATGCCGCGTCGTCTCTGGACCTCCTGCCCAGAACCCTGCGCCCCACTTTTCTGCGACATCTCCCGAGCAGGATCGACCTGTCGTGGACCTCGGGCCCGAAACCGGCCGAGACCGCCCGGCGCGCCAAAAGTTCCAACGCTTAGGTCGGGCATGTTCCCCATACAAAGGGATTTTCAACGAGAAATAAAGAATGACCCAAAAATGCTCCAAATACGCAAAAAATATTCAAAAAAGCACCCTGACTATCTTTTGATTATTTTCGAACGTCTCCCCTGTAGAGGGACAGACCCGACTTAATACAACGCCCAGATCTCGGTGGTGCCCGGGCCACATCCCGGGCCTCCGGCGGCCCTCGGGGACGACCCGGGCCCCCCCGTGGGCGCCTCTCGGCCGGGCGCAGCTGCTGGAGAGCACCCCGCGGCTGGAACGCCGCCGAGAGAGCCCGAGAGCCTCGCCCTCGCGGGGGGGCTGGACAGCCGCCGGGAGCCCACGGTGGGGGCCCGACCACAAGAAACCTTCCGCAAGAAACCCAACCCTCCCCCGAGTGGTCCTCCGCCCGAGCCCCGCCCACACGAGAGGAGGCAGCAGCGGCGGCAACGTCCTGCCGCGGCGCGGCAGGCGCAGGGTCGAGGAGGCCACCTGTCGTGGGGTGCTTCCCGCGCTCAGCATTCAACGGCTTCTTAGCCTGCGCAGCGCGGTCGGCACTGGCTCGTGCGGCACCTTTACATTTCCGCTTCAAGCCACGACATTGCCCTGAGGGCAATAAGGAAACAAGTGCAAGCCAGGCAAATAATCGCTCGGCTATGTCGAACTGGCCTGTGATTCAACTCACGGAAGCCATCGAGCTCATCGGCGCCCTGGCCAGCGGTTCCCTCAGGAGGCAGGGGGGGGGGGCGGAACCAAGACCTCAGGAGGGACGGGGGGCTCCCCAGGACCCAGGAGTTCTTCGGCCAGGGCAAGGGCAGCAGGGGCGGCTTGGGACGATTCGGAGGTCGCCCCAAGGTTCTCAGCGAAGAACAGCTGCGCTCTCCACCTCTGAATGGCAGTCGGGTGGCAGCGCCTGGCAGCGCCGCTTCGCAGGCCTTTGAGGGTAGACTGCGACGTCGCTGAAGCATTGCAGTCGCGGCGCCGCCAGACACCCAGCGCAGCAAAGTAATGCGAGTCATGCTCTGCCGACGCGAGCCTCGGGCCACTGCGCGCGGTCCGACTGGGCTCTGCAGAGCTATCGAGACAGCTAGCCATGGCACTGATAGTCGGCGCAGCACTTGAAAGAAACCTCCAGGTCAGCTTATTTTGCTTTAAGTGGGCAGCTTCGGCGTCCACAGCAACTTGGGCCACCTGGTTCGCTTGGGCCCCCCGACGGGCGAAAACGTCGGCCCAATTGTTTCCCAGCGAATCAAAATAGCCTGAGGGTCTGAGTCGAGCGCGTCTTCGAGCCCACGGCGGGCCTTGACCCAGACAAACTCAGGAGGGCCCCTGTTGGGAACACATGTCTGGAAAATGTGTCGCCAGACGTCAGCGTGCATGCCTCGGGCCGAGGCTAAAAGGGGGCCCCAGCTTTGGCCCTCCTGTGCAAAGGCAAGGTGGTCACTACACAGGGTCTCAATCTGGGGAGCTACCTTCGGCGCGCACCGCCCCGCGTAGCGCTCGGCGCGAGGCGCCGACTGGCGCCCAGGCAAGGGGCCGTGCACCGCCCTGGCAGGGAGCCCACGAGGGCCCAGCTCGACGACGGCCCATCCGCACCTTCGCAGCTCGGGGCTGGCGTTCGCAAGCCCCGAGCCATCGGTGTAGACGCGCCGCCCCCAAACCTCATTGGTAGCTCCCCAGGTGGGCACGGGGCAGGGCGGGTCATCGGGCGGCAGCCTGATGGGATGTGTGGGCAACCCAAAGGCCAGCTCAGGAGTGCCCCAATCAGGCTTGCCTAACCCAGACTCTCCGAGGCCCCTCGGAAAGCCCCTGCGCTCCAAGACCTCTTCGGGCATCTGATCCAGCTCAAGTTCTTCAGGAGGCGAGAGGAGAGAGGGGCAATCGTAAAACTGGTGCCCAAGAGTGCCTGGGGCTCGAGAAAAGCAAAGCGCACAATCCTCCGAGGCAGCGTGTCCTTCCGCCATCTTACGCGCTGGGGCCCAACGGGCGTTGCCTAGGAGACATCTGGCACAGCCTCGCGAGCGCCTCCAGATCATGAAACCGTTGCCCGCCTCGGGAATCCTCGCCGCGATCCTCGCCATTTGCCGGCGCCCTGTACCTTCGCGAAGAAGCGCGCGCACTTCCACAAGCATGGTGGTGCAAGGGCTGATCGAGCGCCCGAGGTCGTTGACTACGATGTGAGCTGCAGACGTAGTCCAACCAATCCTCTTGAGCGAAAGGTAGACTGCTGCCGTTGGACCGTGACATCTGGCCCATTTCGCGCCATCAACAAAGATGCGCATGAGCTGCTCCCAGCCGCGCTGCAGCAAGGCCATGGAACCAATGTTGTCCCAGAACAGCGCGGCATATCGGCAGACCAGACCGATCGTGACGTCATAGATAGGGTCGTGGAGCTCGTCCGGCTGCGTGGCCAGCCACGCCGTGAGCCCCGCGTGATGCCGAGCCCCAACCAGTAGCCCTGCCATGCTGCGCAGCTTCGCGAGCGTGGAGTCGACGACGCCACTGGTGCCTGAGCCGTGGGCTGCCGCGGGCAGCAAGCCCGTGCGCCAGAGAGCTCTCGCCTTGCCTTTGGACCCTCTGATGAGAGCCCTCAGCTTGTTCTTGCGCTGCTGGAGGCCCATCAACCGTTTGAGCTCTGGAACTCTGCGCAGTCGGGCCCCCGCAAGCTCATGGCCAAGGTTGCGAAGGTGAGAGTGACGCTTCAACTTGAGGAGCGCTGCCATCTTGCCAACTGCCTTAGATGCCTTAGCCGACGATGTGATGCAGCCGCTCTTGCTGGCCTGGATGACCAATCCGAAGTCGAAAACCTGATGCGTGAACCAGCGCGCCGCTCCAAACAACTGCTGCGGACGTTCTGGTTGAGGTCCCGTCCACTGGAAGCTAACGTCGTCCATGAGCGCTCTGGGGATGACCTCCACAAACGATCTTCGAACCTGCTGCAGCACTCGTCCCAGTCGGAGATGCATCATGGCACATGCGTGAGAGCAGCCCGCCAATATACCCTGGTAGGACGTGTACTCATGCGAAACCGATCCGTAGGCTTTGATGAGCCTAAGAGCTTGGTGCGTGCTGAGCAGCATCCAGATCAAACGCAAAGGAAATTGCTGCTGGCGGGCGCGCATGAGAAGGTACTCAAGCTTGATAGTCTCGAAGCACTTATACATGTCAAACAACACACTCACCGAAGCATGGCCTCGGAGTCGGGCCAGCTCAGAATCTAAGTTGTGTTAGAACGCCGCATCCATCGATGTCGCTCCTGGACGGGACCCCCAGCAGGCGTCACACGGGTGGTGGAGCTCCCATCTCTTGGACAGTGGGCGTCTCAGCCGACTCCATATGCGGACCAACGTGTTGATGAGAGAAATTAATCGATATCCGCCGTCTGGTTTAGCAAGTCTAACCAGTCGGGTCTGGAGCCTGCTGTCGAGCCAACAGCACATGTCCTCGCACTTCATCAGGAGCATCGCCACCGTGTGCAAACCCCTGTCTGAGACCACGTCGAGCGACCTCGGCTGCATATTGATTTGCCCGAGCGCAGTGTGCAACTTGAACTTACGGATGACTCTCCTCACTTGGTCGCCTGTGATGGGCGGGAGCTCGTCCCACTGCTGCCAGTCATCAGGACGCTGAAGCTGCTGGCAGCCGTGAAGGGCCCAGATGGTGGACCACTGGTCAAGACATGAGTCTGCCATCTGGTACGGCTGGCACGCATCGTCGGTGAAGTCGAAGATTTCCTGCATGGCTTTCACCTTTGAATACCGATGTGCCAGCTAAGCTCCTGGGAGGAGGAGGAGGAGAAGGACGAGGAGGAGGAGGAGGAGGAGGAGGAGGAGGAGGAGGAGGAGGAGGAAAAGGACGAGGACGAGGAGGAGAAGGAGGAGGAGAAGGAGGAGGAGGCGGAGGACTAGGACGAGGAGAAGGAGGAGGAGAAGGAGGAGGAGGCGGAGGAGGAGGCGGAGGAGGAGGAGAAGGCTGGACAACCGCCGAGGACATACGAACACGCCCGAGAACCTGAGCCCTTCTCCTCTTCGGATCTCAGGGGCGGCAGTCTCTGCGGCGGCCCGCGGCGGTCGGCGAGCGGCCGGCGGCGACGGCGATCGAGGAGGATCGAGGAGGAGGGTCGCGCAGGGGGGTCGAGGATAGAGGATCGAGGATGGTCGAGGAGGGGGATCGAGGAGGAGGGTCGAGGCTCCTCGATTCTCCTCCTCGATCCTCCTCCGCGAACCCCCTCCTCGATCCTCCTCGATACCCCTCGGTCCTCCTGGATCCTCCCCCTTGATGCTCATCTCAAAGATTGTGCAGGCGTCGTCGTCGTCGGCGGCGTCGTCGTCGTCGTCGCCGCCGTCGCCCTCGTCGACGATGTCGTCGTCGTCGTCGCCGTCGTCGTCGACGATGCCGTCGTCGCCGTCGTCGTCGCCGTCGTCGCCGTCGTCGCCGTCGTCGCCGTCGTCGTCGTCGTCGTCGTCGTCGTCGTCGCCGCCGTCGTCCTCGTCGACGACGTCGTCGTCGTCGCCGTCGTCGCCGTCGCCGTCGTCGCCCTCGCCGGCGGCTGGCCGCGGAGCCGGGCGACGGGCGGCCGGCCGCGGGGCCTCCACGGCGGCGCGCAGCTGGCGCTGGGCCGCGGGCGCCAGCGCGCCCGGCGGGCGGCCGCCGGCGCCCGGCAGGCTGCCCGCGTCGGAGGGGCCCACGCGCCAGGCTGGCCGGCGGGGCGGCGCCGTCGTCGTCGTCGTCGTCGTCGTCGTCGTCGTCGTCGTCGTCGTCGTCGTCGTCGTCGTCGCCGTCCGTCGACGTCGACGTCGACGTCGTCGTCGTCGTCGCCGTCGTCGCCGTCCGTCGACGTCGTCGCCGCCGTCGTCGTCGTCGTCGTCGCCGTCGTCGGCGGCGGCGGCGGCGGCGGCGGTCGTCGCCTTCGACATCGGCGGCGTCGCCGTCCGTCGACGTCGGCGGCGGCGCCGTCGTCGTCGCCGAGGGGGCGGATCCACCCGCTGTTAGTCAAACGCAGAAGTGGAGCAGGAGAGGGAGGAGGAAGAGGCCTCCGCCGCCGCCGCCGTCGTCATTGTCGTCGTCGTCGTCGTCGTCGTCGTCGTCGCCGCCGCCGCCGCCGCCGTCGTCGTCGTCGTCGTCGTCGTCGTCGTCGTCGTCGTCGTCGTCGTGGTCGACTGGACGCAAACGTGCACGATCATAAACAACGTCCGGGAAACTCTGCAACAAGCTCTTCCAGATCCCTCTCACCTTTGTTTTCGACAGGATAATGCCTAATTGGAGTTGACCCATGACCGCGTCTATGAACAGAAGGTGTACTCGTGTTTTTCAAGATACGGGCCCCCGACCTCTCGACTACTTCCCCCGGACTGGTTTTTCATCCCGAGTCGTCTCTGGACGGTCCCGAGGCCCAGGAACAGGCCCCTTGAGGCCGAAAGCAATGAAACAGCTAAGTGCCGATTTCTTCGCCACGCCGGATGTCTGGGTTTCTCGTGCCCGCCTTGCACGACGCCCGACCAACGGTATCGACGGTGGCGAAACTGGCGGCTCCGCGGCGAGAGAGGGGGGGAAGTGAGACGGGGACTTCTCAGAAGCCCTCGCGCCTTCCGAGAACTTTTGTTCTGTCTTCGGGGACGGCTGACAGAACTTCTCAGAAGGCCGGGGGGCTTCCGAACCTTCTGAGGAGGTCTGCTCCTTCTCACTTCCCCCCTGGATCGCCACCGAAAAAGAGAAGAGGACCAGGAGGGAGGTGGTCGAAGAAGAAAAATCGCCATATACATAACATAAACTTTTGGCGCTCCCCGTGGATTTCTTGGATCCGCGCTGGACCTTCCTCCCTGGCGCGCGGAGCGCGCGCGCCAAAGGCACCGCCGTGGAGGCCCAGCGCAGATCCGAGAAATCCGCGCGGAGCGCCAAGAGTTTATGTTGATGTTTTTTTTGTTCTTCGAGGTGGGAGGCGCCGAGCGTTAGGTCAGGCGTGTCCTCCTCCAGGCGGACTCTGGACGAAAACTTAAACCTAGTCAACACATGCTCAACAGTGGCCAATTAGTAATCGAAACATCGTCCACTGACTATTTTTTTATTATCTTTGAGTATTACTCCTGTAGAGGGACATGCCCGACGTAAGTCGGGGGCGCGCAAACGTGGATTAGCGATCCATGGTTTGGCGCGCGGCCGCCAAATCCACAGATCGGGGCAGGTGCCCACGGCCGGTGCCTCCTCGCTCGGCGGCGGGAATCCGCGATTCCCAACGGCAACGGGACCCGTCGCTAATCCACGCCCCCTTGATCCATGCTTGCGATCGCCTGAGTAAGCTACCCCCCAGACCTCTCCCGGGGTGCGTTCTGACCAGAATCTCGAGGCGAACCCAGCGGTGGCGACGAGGGCCTCCGAGGAGGCCCAAAAAGGGGAGAACGAGGAAAGACACCTTCTCTTTCCCCAAGTACGAGGGACCTGCCCGACTTCAGAGCCGAGCGTTAAGTCGGGCGTGTCCCCCTACAGGGGGATTTTCGACGAAAAATAACTTACCCCAAAAATAATCAAAATAATCCAAAAGTAGTCTGGAAACTATTTTTGGAATATTTTTTACCTAACAGCTTGTTCTGATAGGTTTCTAGTAGGGTCAAAAGAGAGCAGCAGATGACTCCACAAGGGGGTCTGGGCGGGTGCCGGACAGGGTGCCGCAGAAGTCGTTTTAAGCCAACAGTCACACACTGCGTGCTCTTCGACCTCCCAGAACTCCATTCCCGGGCCACATTCTGAATGCCCGGAGCCAACTGTAGGCCACTTCGTGGTCTTCGACTTCCCAGAACTCCATTCCCGGGCCACATTTTGAATGCCCGGAGCCAACTGTAGGCCACTTCGTGGTCTTCGAGTTCCCAGAACTCCATTCCCGGGCCACATTTTGAATGCCCGGAGCCAACTGTAGGCCACTTCGTGCTCTTCGAGTTCCCAGAACTCCATTCCCGGGCCACATTTTGAATGCCCGGAGCCAACTGTAGGCCACTTCGTGTCTTCGAGTTCCCAGAACTCCATTCCTGGGCATGATTTTGAATGCCCGGAGCCAACTGTAGGCCACTTCGTGGTCTTCGAGTTCCCAGAACTCCATTCCCATGATTTTGAATGCCCGGAGCCAACTGACAGGAAGGCCAATGCTGAGGCAGGCTGAGGCTGAGGCTGAGGCAGGCTGATGCTGAGGCAGGCTGAGGCTGAGGCTGAGGCTGATGCAGGCTGAGGCTGAGGCAGGCTGAGGCTGAGGCCGAGGCTGAAGGCAGACTGAGGCTGAGGCTGAAGCAGGCTGAGGCTGAGGCTGAGGCAGGCTGAGGCTGAGGCAGGCTGAGGCTGAGGCTGAGGCAGGCTGAGGCTGAGGCTGTGTCTGTGACTGCCGTTGCCACTGCGACTGTCATCGCGAATGCGACTACGACTGCGAGAACAGCACAAGTCTACAACTGGATTCTCATCTGAATCTTAAGGGGAATGCTTCCAGATATGCTCCTACACAAGGCTGTTAGGTTGCTTTGCCGGGATAATTTGACCATTTTGGGGTAGTTTTGGGGTCTTCTTTATTTTTCGTCGAAGATCCCCCGAGTACGAGGGACCTGCCCGACCTTCAGAGCCGAGCGGCGGCACGCGAAGGCGGGGCGCCTGCGAAGGCGGGCGCGTCCCCCGGCAGCGACGCGGCCGGCGTGCGGAAGGGCGTCCTGCCGGGCGCGGGCGCGGCCCCGCGGCCGCCCGCGCGCGCGCTGGAGCGCCGCCGGCGCCGCGCCGGCGTCGTCGACGGCGGTGGCCACGACGACGACGACGACGACGGCGACGGCGACGACGACGACGATGACGACGACGGCGGCGACGACGACGGCGGGGGCGACTACGGCGACGGCGACGACAGGGGGCGACGACGACGACGACGACAGGGGGCGACGGCGACGACGACGACGACGGCGACGGCGACGGCGACGGCGACGACGACGACGGCGGCGGCGGCGGCGGCGACTGCGGAAGCGGTGGGGGCGGCGGCGCCGCCGCCGCAGCTGCCGTCGACGGCGGCGGCCACGACGATGGACTGCGGCGGCAGCGATGCACGCTTGTTGAGCTGGCGTTTTGCCCCGACTTCGGCCCTCCTCCTCCTCCTCCTCCTCCTCCTCCTCCTCCATCCCTTCTCCTCCACCTCCGTGCTGCCTCCTCCCTCGGCCGGCGCGGCAATGGGGTCCCACTGCTCCAAGGCTGGCCAGGCCTCCTGGGCGGGTGTGTGCACCGAGGCCGCAGCGCCCCCGAGGCCGCGGGCGCGCGGCGGCGGCGGCGCACGTCGGCGGCCCCCGGTAGCCCACGAAATGGATCTGGGACGACACACTTGCCCCAGGGAGTTCCCCGTCGCTCGGACGTCCTTTCCCCGTGTTTTTTTGGTTTCGTGCGCGGCTTTTTGGCCAAACGATCCAAGATGCTCCTCGATGGTCCCCGCCCAGGAAAAGTGCACACGTCCGAGCGATGCCAAGGGGAAGGGGTCGGGACCCGCGGGGCCGCGGATTCCAAGCAGCGGATCCGCACCGAAGGGACAGGCTAAGGGGGAAAAAAGCCGGGTGCGCTCGTGCCACGCTCGGCATCTTTGTCCCCTCCCACCCCTCCCCTCCCCGATGCGTCGGGTCCTGTCCATTCGCCGACCGGGGCGCCCTGGAGGGAGCTCTACACCGCACGCGTTGACGGACCCCCAGATGGGAAGGCTCGGCAGTGGCCGTGGGGCATGCTGTGACAAGGGAGTCGCAAGTCAGCCGCACGGCCCGACATGAGCCCTCACAGCGAGTTCCCCGACAGAGGCAGCGTCCTGGCACTGGCGACGGTGTAAGCCGAATGGTCACAGAGGACGCATCCTTCACGACACGGCTCGACCTCCACAATGCTTTTCGTGTTCGTTTTGTATTCGTTGTCACTCGTTTTGTATTCGTTCTGCCTTTGCTGTAACACGATATCAAAACCAACACGGCCAATGAAATCGCGACACACCGCTCAGGCCGAGGCCTCGATGGTGACGACGATGTTGCCGACGTCGATGCCGCCGACGACGATAGATGCATGAATGTTGCCATGCGTTCAGCCCCACGGCTGTCCAGGCATACCGCAAAGCCCCCGAAACATACACTACGAATTTACGCTATCAGCCCCAGTCGTGAACCTTGAAGCATGGTGGCGCTTACCCCATCTTCATCCGACACGCCCGGGACGTCCAGCCTCAAGTGAGCGCCGAAAAGAAAGGAGTCGTATGCACGATGGCATGGCGACCTTACGCGGTGGCTCACGCGGGCCGCCAACGCTGAACACATCGTGAAGAACGAGGGCGCTTACGCGCGACCTTACGCGTCACGCGAGTAGCTTACACGCCAATGTCGGCGCAATCGACCCCTTAGTCTTCCGTCGCTCTACTAAGTGGCTCCGAAGGGCTCCTGAAGGCAAAACCTCAGAAGCACTTCCTGTGCACGATGGTTGGGCCCGACTCGTCGTATTCCCCCTTGGAGATCCACATCTGCTGGAAAGTGCTCAGCGAGGAGAGGATGGATCCGCCAATCCTGGAGGAACAAATCATGGCATGAACATCATGTATCGGAGGTCCGCGCGGATTTCTTGGATCGGCGCTGGATCCCCTCCCAGGCGCGCGGAGCGCGCCAGGTGCGGCGCCAGAGGCGCCGCCAAGGGGGGGGCAGCGCCGATTCAAGCAGTCCGCGCGGACCTCCGGGAACTTATGGTTATGCAATCTTTGTTACTCGAGATCCATACCGAGTACTTGCGCTCAGGCGGAGCCACGACCTTGATCTTCATCGTTGATGGTGCTAAGGCTGTTAGTTCCTTTGTCATCCGCTCGCCGATGCCTGGGAACATCGTGGTGCCGCCGGACAGGACAACGTTGGCGTACAGATCTTTGCGAATGTCGACGTCGCACTTCATAATCGACTGGAAGGTGGTGCCCGCCGAACAGCCATTGGGTATCATCCAGCGTGTGATATCGAATGCCCCTTCTTACCCATCTTCCTGCTCCTCCTCCCCCCCTCCTCCCCCTCCCCCTCCTCCTCCTCCTGCCTCCTCCTCCTCCTCCTCCTCCTCCTCCTCCTCCTCCTCCTCCTCCTCCTCCTCCTCCCCCTCATGATCACCACGCTGCTGGTCGCCCAACAAAAAGTGGTGTCCGCCGACCCCCCCCCGGGAAGCATGGCCCGCGAGGGAAGAGGGGGCGGGTGCTGGACGCCAGAGCTCACCCCGGGATTGCCCGGACGGGGGCGAGATCGGGCTGGGATAAGCCGGGAATCTCTGAGAGGAGGAGGAGGAGGAGGAGGAGGAGGAGGAGGAGGAGGAGGAGGAGGAGGAGGAGGGAGGAGGAGGAGGAGGAGGAGGAGGAGGAGGAGGAGGAGGAGGAGGAGGAGGAGGAGGAGGAGGAGGAGGAGGAGGCGGAGGAGGAGGAGTCGCGGCGAGAACGGGCGTCAGGGGAGGGGGCGGGGATGGGTATAACGTAGCGCACACCCCCGTCGCGTGGTTCTGGCACCACAGCGCCCGTGCGCACCGCAACATGCACCACAGTGCGCACCACGGCATGCACCGCCGCACCTGCGCGCACCGCAGCGCCCGTGTACACCGCGATGTCGGCGTGCACCACAGTGCTTTTGTGCACCGCAGCGCCTGCGTGCACCCACTACAGCAGCCGCGATCACCCCGAGGGAGGAGGAGGAGGAGGTGGAGGAGGAGGAGGAGGAGGAGGAGGAGGAGGAGGAGGAGGAGGGGGAAAGGAGGAGGAGGGGGAGAGGAGGAAAGGGGGAGGAGGAGGAGGACAGGAGGAGGAGAAGGAGGAGGAGGAGGAGGAAAGGAGGAGCGCTTCTGTACACCACCACGACTGCGTTGATTCCACTTCCGTTGCACAGTTGTGCTCTGGGTTTCGGTCAGGCCGACCCCTCGGCCCGAAGGAGGCGGCGGGCAACATTGGTGCCTGGAAGCATGCGTACTGCTGGTGCGCAACTGTGAGAGCATGACGATGTTTTTGACGACCACTCAACGACGACCACGATGACGACCACAACGACGATCACGACGACGCCGACGATCGCGACGATTACGAAGACTACGACGACGACGATCACAACGACGACCACACGCCGACTGCGACGGCTATCACTACGACCAAGACGAATACGATGACCACGACGATTACGGCGACGACAACAACGGTTACGACAATCACAACGACGATCACCACGACCACAAGACGACCACGACGACGATTACGACGACTTCGCCCTACGCCCACCGTCTTCCTACACCCTCTCTGTGTCCTCCTCCTCCTCCTCCTCCTCCTTCCGATCCCGATCCCGGAGCTACTGCTACTGCCAATGGCACTAGTTCTGCCACCACTACCACTACTAAAAGTGTTGCTACCCTGCCAGAACCAAATTACTGCATGAATTCCGCGCGAGTGCGCAAAAACATGCCAGACCCTTCAAGTGCAACAGTGGCCTGCGAGCGCAACACCATGTCTGCGAGCACGGGCAACGAACCTGTGAAAGCAACTCTCGCCCGTGAACATCAGCCTGCGAGCACCAGTAGCCTGCGAGCACCACGAGAGCGACTAGCCTGCGGGCGTCACAGTGGCCCGCGAAGGAAACGCAAACGCCGCGACCGCACCTTGCTGCGAGACTGTGCTGCATGCGCGCACTGCCGCAGCGCCACAGGCGCACCAGGGCGGGGAGGCTTTGCGTGGTGGGGGGGAGGGAGGGAGGGGGGGGCACAACGCGCGATATGGCCTGGAGGGTCAACAAGAACACGCTCTCTGAGAGTCCGCAGGTCCAGAGGAGGCATCGGGCGCCGCAGTTCCAGAGGCGCCCGAGAGCGCTCCGAGAGCGTCCTGGAACGCTTCGGAGCGGTCCTTCTCCATCCTGAGCCAGCACCCCGACGTTGTGGCTCTCCACGACGCGATCCCCAGAGGTCCGGACCCATTCCCTGGGACCGGCCTGTCATCCTGGGCCGTCTTGGTCCGGAAGCCCAGCGAAGGCCCCTGGAGGTCGAAACCGGCAAAAAGCCTCCCGTCGTGGTTTGTTTTTTTCGCGACCCGAGGGGGTCTGGGAAGCCTGCCTGAGCAATCCCGAGCCCTTCTCTGACGGTCCTGGGGGCCCTGGGAAAGAGTCTCTTTTTGCCAAAGCAATCCTCGCGGCCATGCCTGGTTCATATATCCTCTGGTGTGATGTGGTCTGATCACAACGAAGACTGCCTGGTCAATACATCCTCTGGTGCGATGTGGTCTGATCACAGCGAAAACTGCAAGGACACTAGGTTCAGTCGGCTTGGTTGTTTTTTTTGTTGAGGCAGGCCCGATCAAGCCCGCAAGAGCCATGGTACACACGGCAATCCTGGCCATGAGCGTGAGCAACGAAAGCACGAGGGCTCCCAATGTGGGCCACAAAAGCGAGTATTGCGCTGGTACCCCAAAGCGGCTTGGTTGCTGGGTTTTGTCTGGTAGCCCGGGGGAAGAGGGGCCCAGAAGAGGCCGGAAACGGCTCGAGGCCTCGGGGGCCCCCCTGTCCCTCGGGAGGCCACTCGAGGCGACCCGGGTTCCCCCCCGCAGCGCCCTCGACGAGGAGCAGCTGCGGGGACCTGGCCCAGAGACCCGAGGCTCCGAACAGAATTGGAGCGGCCCGTTTCCGAATGCTCCCTTCTAAGGAATAAGTGCTCTTGATCCCCCCCCCGCGGGGGCACGTGGTGTTTCTTTCCATTGCAGTGCCGTTCCTGGGGCTCGCGTCCGGTTTTCTGCCAGGGGAAGTCTTGGGTCTCAGAATTGGCTGTTTGGCCCCCGGTTTGCAACAACATCGGCTCCCGCCCGATACGTCCTGTCAATGTATTGATGGATCGCGCTGTCGCACGGGACCTCTTCACAATTCATGCAGAAACCGCGCTCTCGCGTGGGACTTTCTCGCAACTTATTCAGGCGCCGCCCCCTCGACACTCAGGAATCACGCTCTCGCGTTGGCCTATCTCACGATTCACTTGGGAAGAGACTTCCTCGTGATTCATGCAGGATGCACGCTTCAGCTGCCCGCCTGCTCGACCTGGCCGCCTGGGCCCGCCTTCCCGACCCGCCTGTCAAGGTCTACCCGCCCGATCTACCCGTCTGGTTCTGCCACGTGTTTTCTGGTCCTAGCCCCCCTCCTGCTACTCTCTCTCTCTCTCTCACTCTCGCTTTCTCTCGTGTTCCATCCTCCTCCCTCCCCCTTGTTCTTTTCTTCCATTCGTCCTCTCTTCCTCTGCTGGAGGGGCTGCATGACAAGTACGTTGCAGGTAAGAAAAATATACCCCCAAGGGGGTACGATCGAAAACGAAAGGGGCGGATATCGAGGGTTTGGGATATCCGTGTTGAATGTGAATGGCACGCGAACTGTCTTAACATGTCTGTTGTTGTTGCTGCTGCTGTTGTTGTTGTTGGTGGTGTGGTGGTGCTTGTGATTGTGGCTGTGGTTGTTGTTGTTGCTGCTATTTTCGGCTTGCGGGGGCTCTCAACCTCAACGGGCCCCAGGACAGTTACATAACGATTCAGGATGGCAAACCAGCCCTGGGGACATTGTCCAGACCTCCGGGGGTCCACGCATCGAAAAACTTGGAGCGCCAAATGTCTGGGAACCCAAGCTCCGAAAAATGGTGAGGAGCAACATCGAAAATGTCGGAACACTCTCAGGGAAACAGGAAACGCAAAGGAGGAGGAGGAGGAGGAGCAGGAGGAGGAGGAGCAGGAGGAGGAGGAAGAGGACGACGTCGACGGCGAGGGAGAGGGCCCAGACTCCTGGCGACACGGAAGCGTCCGCGCTACCAGATATTGTCTCCGTCTGTTGCTTTTTCGGCGTCCGTCTGTTTGACTTTTCATTCAAAATCCACCAGTAGGGGAACATGCCCGACCTAACACTGAGGGCTGGAAGCGCTGCGGACAGATCGCTTCGAGCAATTGGGGAGAATCGCGTCTGCGTGGGCTTGCGCAAACACACAAAAAAGGGAGCCCAGATACCGACCGAGAAAATAAGGACCCCTATAACATAAAAACTGAAGGAATACTAGTCAAAGTCCGGCATACAAGAGTGAAGCATGAAATTCCGACCTCGAAGATAACAACTTCAGAATCGCCCCAGGAAGCCCCCAATGCGGCTGGCGCTGGAAAGATAGTGCGCGACACCGACTTCCGGAGGAGGAGGAGGAGAACGAGGAGGAGAACGAGGAGGAGGAGGAGGAGGAGGAGGAGGAGGAGGAGGAGCGCTGCCCCTGCGGGGCGATCCTCCGGCGAGGGCCCTCCTGCGCACGCCGCCCCCCTGCCGGGGCTTCCTTCGGTGCACGCTCTTTCCCCAGGGTGCTGCATGGCGTGTAGAGTAAGCGGGCCAACGGCGCCACACTGCACGCGATCCCTGGAGGAGGAGGAGGAGGAGGAGGAGGAGGAGGAGGAGGAGGAGGAGGAGGAGGAGGAGAGGAGGAGGAGGAGGAGGAGGAGGAGGAGGAGGAGGAGGAGGAGGAGGAGGAGGAGATGGAGGAGGAGATGGAGGAGCTCCAACTTCCGTGTGCAGAGTCACCGCCGCTCCTGGCTTCCTCCGTGGCGAGACGTGCCGCCAGCCTCGGCGGGGAGCGTGGGCCGGCAGGCCCCCGCGATCCTGCTCGGTACCTCTCCTGGATCCTCCTCGTCGACCTTCTCACGATCCCCCCTCCCTCCTCCTCCTCTCCTCCCCCTCCTCGACCCCCTCCTCCTCCTCGACCCTCCTCCTCCTCGACCCCCCTCCTCTCCTCCTCCTCCTCCTCCTCCTCCTCCTCCTCGACCCCCCTCGTCGAATCGATACCCCCGACGACATGATTTTTTGCACGACGTGCCCCCCGAATGTCTTGACCCCTTCCGGCGGGACCGGCTCTTCCTCCCGAATCGGTCTTTCACGAGCCCGGTACCCGGCGTGGGCCCCTGGAGACCGACAACAACGGAACACATACGACGCGATGTGGGTCTGGGAGGTGATGCTTCTCATCGAACCCCCTCCGCGATCCCACTCGATGGCCCTGATCCATCCTCCTTCTTATCCCCTCGACCCTCGATCCCGCTCCTCCTCCTCCTCCTCCTCGACCCTCGATCCTCGATACTCCTCGACCTTCGACCCCCCCCCCCCTCCTCCTCGACCTCGACCCTCGACCTCCCCTGTCCTCCTCCTCCTCGACCTCGACCTCGACCCCCCTCCTCCTCCTCCTCCTCCTCTTCCTCCTCCTCCTCTTCCTCCTCCTCCTCGACCTTCGACCCTCGATCCTCAATCCTCCTCGACCCTCGACCCTCGATCCTCCTCGGTCCCCCGCCGAGATGCGGCTGGCGCAGCCGATGCGAGGTGCCTTTGCTCGGCCCTCGCCGGGGATCTGGGACTCGATCACTCCCCGATCCTCCCCGATCCCTCCTCGATCCCTCCTCGATGCCTCCTCGATGCCTCCTCGATCCCTCCTCGATCCCTCCTCGATCCCTCCCTGATCCCTCCTGCATGATCATCCTCCTCGATCCCGCCTCCGTCCTCGGCGAACGTGGGTCCAGCAGGCCCCTGCGACTCTGCTCGACACCCCTCCTCCTCCTCCTCCTCCTCCTCCTCCTCCTCCTCCTCCTCCTCCTCCTCCTCCTCCTCCTCGTCGATCCCTCGGAACACCTCGGAACGACGGATCCACGCGTGCGTGCACTCTCAGAAGCCAAGGGAAGGCTGGCAAACCCGTGGCTGCTAAAACGGAGCTCCGGGAAATCGCTTCTCTCTTCCGGGAAGCAGCCCGTTCATTATTTAGCGCGTTGAGTGTCCCCCTACCCTGGGTTACAAGTGCGTGGTCTGTAAACCTCCTGGGAGCTCCCAGAGGCCAGAGAGCCGCCAGGAAGCCGCGCGACACGCGCGATGCGCAGGGTTCATCCTGTCAGCCCACAGGAGGTTCATCGCACAGCGCCTCGCAAACCAGGGTAGGGGCGTTTTTTACGCCCTTGACTCCGGGCGAAAGCCAAGATAGACACCGCCGCCAGGGGCATACCCCCAGCACGACGGAGTCGACTAAAACTGGAGCCTGGATCCTCGGCTGGGCATGCCAAGTCTGAGCACACATCCCGACAACTGTCCGCAGCATCTGTAAACCTAGGATTAGGTCGGGCATGTCCCCCTGCAGGCGGACGTTGGACGAATAATCAAAACTATAGTGAAACATGCTCAAACGTATTCAACAAAAACTCAAAACATCGTCCCCAGACTATGTTTCACTGCTTTTGAATCTTCCTTCTGTAGAGGGACCGGCCCGCCTTAAATCTAGGACCAGGGCTAGCGCCTGGGAAAAGCGAGCGCTCCTCGAGGTGCACCCACAAGGACCGCACCTCTAAACAGCAGAGGGCCCACCCTTAACCCCTCGATCCTCCCCGACCCTCGATCCTCCTCGATCCTCGATCCTCGATCCTCCTCGATTCCTCTTCGACTCCCTCCCCCTCCTCCCCCTCCTCGATCCCCCGGCTCCCCGAGCCCTCGAGCCCCCCCCCTCGAGCCCCACGACCTTGGATCCCCCTCCTCCTCGAGCCTCCCCCCTCGACCCTCCACGACCCTCGATCCTCGACCCTCCTCCTCGAGCCCCCCTCCTCGACCCTCCTCCTCCTCGAGCCCCCCCACTCCGCCCTCCGCAGGGGGGGGGGCGGCGGGCTCGGGGCCGGCAGGCCCCCCGCGATCGTGGATACCGCTGGCCTCCTTGCCCACGAAGCTGGGCTGGAAGAGCACCTCGCGGCGGCGGCCGCGCCCGGCGGGTGGCCGAGGCGCGCCGAGGCTCGAGGGTCGAGGAGGGTCGAGGACAGAGGGTCGAGGAGGGGGGGGGGCTCGAGGAGGAGGGCCGAGGAGGGGGGGGGGCTCGAGGATCGAGGGGGCGGGGGCTCGAGGAGGAGGAGGGTCGAGGAGGGGGGCTCGAGGAGGAGGGTCGAGGATCGGGGGTCGAGGAGGGGGGTGGGGCTCGAGGAGAAGGGAGATCGAAGGTCGTGGGGCTCGAGGGGGAGGCTCGGGGAAAGGCATCGAGTAGGATCGCGGATCATGTTTAGATTAGACCATGCGCTGCGCTGCGCGCGGCTCCTCACAGCCTCTCTCTAGCCTCAATCCTTCCTGCGTAAGCTTGCCGCTCCTTCCGAAGAGAGTCGCGGATGAGGGATCGAGGAGGAGCAGGATCGATTCCCATACACCCTCGCGTCGTGGCACAATCACGGCGGGAAGCTTTTCGTGATTTTCGGGCTCCAGGGGCCCTCGCTGGGCCCCGGGACCGTCAAACAGCGACTCAGGATGAGAAGCTAGTCCCGGGGAAGGGGTCCAGACCTCTGGGGGGTCACGTCATGAAAACCATGGCGTCGGGGATATCGATTGGATGAGGGGGGTCGAAGAGGAGGAGGAGGAGGATGAGGAGGAAGGAGGAGGAGGAGGAGGAGGAGGCGGAAGGAGGAGGAGGAGGAGGAGGAGGAGGAGGAGGAGGAGGAATAGGAGGATGAGGGCGCCCGAAAAATGTTCAACCTCTCGACGATCAGCGATCGACCACCGCAAAGCGCACCCCCGAGCGCCCGGGGTTCCCGACGGGCGCGCCAGAGCACGGCTCGACCGTTCGACGAGCGACGGCGGACCACGGTGAGGCGCTCCCGACCTCGGAACCGACTGCAGTCGGACCTTGGCCAGGAGAGCATGACTGGACCCCCCGCGGGCAACAGCAAGCGGAGCACCCCCGGGCGGCCTCCCCGGGATGCACACGAGCATCCAACAAACACGAAGAACACCAGGGCGGCCTCCCCGAGCCGACCTCGACCGATGCCTCGGTCCGGATGTGCGGCGCGCAGCCAGACGAGACCTTCCACGGGAAGCCCCACCCTGAGATCCAAGGGCCGCAGATCCAAGAAATCCGTTCGGAGCGCCAACCGTTTGCTTAAGCTGTTTTTCCTTCTTCGGGCCAAGCAGGGTAGCTGTTGGCATGGGCCTCCACTGTGCGTGGCCCCCCCCCCCTGCCATTGCCCCAACCAACTTCCGCTGGCCTTTCGCCGGCCTCCGCCGGCGGGGGCGGCCTCGCTGTACTTTTTGCGGGCGCTACGCCCGGCGAGATTCGGCTGGATGTCTTGCGAATGGGCTCGATGAAGTAAACAGCCGCGTTCGCGGCGCAGCAAATTCACATAGTACTAAGGCACATGATACCACGGCGCAGAAAGCCAACATCCTTCGAAGTGTGCTGGGGCCCGAAGGGGGCGCCGAGGCAGGGATGACGAGTCGCTGGGAGCAAACGAAGCCATGATCCTGCACTCGAGCGCCCCCTCCGCCGAGGGGATGGCGCGACGAGAACGCCCGCCGCGTAGCCCTCTAGCTGCGCGGCGGGCCTCGCCCCGCGAAGTCCACCCGAATTCGAACAAAAGCACTCTGAACCAGAACGCCATCAGACGCCAGGAGGAGGGGCGAGCAGGACAGGGGGGAAGTAGCTGGCAAAGTTGTACCGCTGCCGACGGCGACCGCCCGAAGCTAGTGCGAATCGCTCCCACCAGTTGGCGCTGCCGAGGCTGCGGACCGTCGTGGCACGGGCATCGCGCCGGCCTGCGAAATCAAGTGTCTATCCCATGCAGGGCAGCCGAAGCGCCGACCAAGCGTCTATCCCAAGAAGGGCAGCTGAGCGCCGACGCGCCATGACGAAACAGTAAAGGAACGACCAGAAATAGTACCAACTCGAACGCCAGCGACTGGGACCGCCGAGTGCAATGCATCCCCGCAAGAGCCAGGCCAACGCGTGGACGAAGTAGTGGGGCAGCAGCAACCCGACGGAGAACAAGTAAGTGGTTTATGCCAACAACATCTCACGGGCAGAAGGCATGCTCGAGGAAACTTCAGGTTTTACTGGGACTGCAGTTGCTTCGTAATTAGCAGCGTAGGCGACCATGGGAATGAACTCCCTCCATGAGCTTCACCGCCCAACTTCGGGCCCATATAGCCACCCATAGACCCTTGTTTCCAGCAAGAAAGGGTCTCCGTAAAACTCCAACTCCCTGTTCGCAGAGGTCGGGCAGCCTCTGCACGCTCACCTCGCTGGCGTAGAAGCTGCTAGCAGCGCCCAGCCGCGCCACAGACATCGCACATGGCAGGTCTGGTTGGGCGCGGGCGCGGGTCACAGCCAGGGGGGGACTTGCGACCCCCCGCCCCCCTGAGGAGGCAAACGGATCCTTGAGCCGCCGAGGCTTCGTTGTACTTCCGCCGGCTTCCGCCGCCCTTCCGTCACGGAGGCGACGTCACCTCCTTCGATCCTCGAAAGCGAGGCCCCTTGTGGAGCACCTCAGTTGGCGCCCTCCCATCCACCCCCCGAGATCCGAAGTTTTCTTTGTTGGGGGGGGGGGGGCATGTCGACCTGGACGGCGCACGGACCTGGCGCTGCGACATTGGGCGACAGGAGGAGGAGGAGGAGGAGGAGGAGGAGGAGGAGGAGGAGGAGGACGAGAGGGCCATTCTGGCCCGGGCTGGGCCCCCCGCCGCCGCGCGCGCTGGCCCTGCGGGAGCGGGCGGACAGGGGCGATTTCTCACGAGATCAAGAAGAGCCGACAGGAGTCGAGACCGTGGCCCATCCGAGCCGCGGTTTGCCGTGTTTCTTACGCGGCCAGGAAGGGCAAACAGATCGATCTGAAAGACTGGCGGACAATTGCCGCCGACCTCGGCAGATCTGACGCCGTTCCTTATGAGAAAAGTAGACGTGGGCAGCAGGCGAACATTAAATATATCGTCGTCCAGGTGCCGACCTCCCGAGACACTAGCGACAGTGCAGACGTGATCTGCTACAGCTCAGAACAGCAGGAGGCCGATCTTTGGCAGCAGTCGCATCAAGAATGGCAGCAGTCGCATCAAGAATGGCAGCAGCCGCATCAAGAATGGCAGCAGCCGCATCAAGAACAGCAGTCTTTTTATGTCTGGGCCCTTCGCTGGCTGCAAGACGTGGGTGAAGATACAACCCAAAACAAGAGCGCGCGAGAAGCGAAGGCAGAACCAGAGTGCGCGCAAAGCGGGGATCAAAACAACACTTCCTCACCGATCAGAGGGAAGAGAGAGAGGAGGCGGAGGAGGAGGATTCCCGAAGCGACCCTGGCCCTCTGGGGGCCTCGCTGCGGGCCCCACTGGGGGTGGGGGGGGGCGCAGAGGGCACCCGACGGCGCGGAGTCCGTGCGCGCTGGGTCACGAGGATGGTCGCGCGTCGCGCGGAGGTCACGCCAGGTCCGCACAGTCGACCCGACTCCTCCTCCTCCTCCTCCTCCTCCTCCTCCTCGTCCTCCTCCTCGTCCTCCTCATCATCCTGTTCCTTGTCCTCCTCTTTTTCCTGATCCTCCTCTTCTTCCTCCAACTCTTCCTCCTCCTCCATCATCGTCCTCGTCCTCCTCCGCCTCCTCGTCCTCCTCCACCTCGTCCTCCTTCTCTTGCTCCTCCTCCTCCTCCTCCTCCTCCTCCTCCCCCTCTTATCTGCGCGGACCTCAACAAAGGATGACACAATGTTGTGTTGTTCTTCGAACCTGGTCGGGTGACCTGGTGGAGCTGAAATACCAAAATGTATCGATACCGCTGCTCCCCAGACCTCTCCCTGGGTGCATTCTGATATGTCCACGTTTTTTTTTCGGCGTTTCGGCATTGGGCTGAAGGGGGGAGGAGGGGGGGGTCTGGCTCTGGACCTCTGCTTAATGCGACTGTTTCCAAAAGGGCGTTCAGTATGGGGGTGACCCCACCTGCTCGAAACAAGCGCCAAAAACAGCCAAGATCTACTCTATGCAGGGGGGAGGGGGAGGGGGTACGAGGGCCCGTGCCGATCGGCAAAACAATGAATAAGTACGAGTTTCAAGGCGAATCCAGCCATAGCGACGAAGGCCTCCCAAGAGGCCCAACACCTCGAAAACGCGGGAAGGGCGGCGGTATCGGTTTCCTCTTCTGATGGTCGCGCGGACGTCCGAGAAAGCATGTTTGTGTAGTTCTTTGTTCTTCCACTTGTGGGGCTAAGATGCCATGGCACAACGGGAATGGGGACCGACTATATCCGCACCAAGTCCGAGTCGAATCCACGTCGGATCGGCGTCGACTCGACGTTGAATCCGCAACGAATCCGCGTCGAATCCAGGTCGGATCCAATTCGAATCGTCGAATCGACCACAAATCCGGGCCGAACCCACGCCGAACCGACGCCGAATCGACGTCGGACCCGTTTCGGGCCTGTGGTCGAAATCAACCCCAGATCCGTGACGAATCGACGCCGAATCAACGTCGAATCCAGGTCGAACCCGTCTCGAGCCCGCGGTCGAATCCACCCCGGATCCGTGACGAATCGACGCCGATTCGTCGTCGGACCTGCGCGCATTTCGGCCACACGCAAGAGTGACCCTGGGTAGGAGTGACCTCTGGTGCGCGGCATCAGGGGGGCACGGGGAGGGCAAACCCCAGCGCGCAGGCCGCCGACATCGCAGCGCGATCAGTGGCGGGAGACCTTACTGGGCACGCACCAAAGGTCACTCCAGCGAAAGGTCACTCTTGCCGGCGGTGGACAAACCTCCCTTTTGTAAACCTCCCCTTAGTGAAAACGGCCTGGGACCGAAACCGACGGACTCGGACCCGCAAAAGTGACGGCGGCGCCGCCCTCTCGCGAACCGAAAACGGCCAATTCCTTTATCGACGTGTCAGTGTAGGTCTTTGTGGGCCCCGGAAACGGCAAGGCCGTTTTTTCACCGTTTCCAAAAAAAAAAGGCCCTTGAAAGTGAAAACGGCAAAAAAACGGCGACCGCAAACGGCAAAAAAAACGGCTCCAGGATTGGAACCGGAGCCCGAACCGGTCAAAAAACGGCGTCGGAGCCGGTAAAAAAACGGCGCCGGAACCGGCAAAACAACGGCAACACGGAACCGGTAAAAAAACGGCCCTGTCGTTTCCAGGGTCCACTGAGGGGTAGGAGGCCTGTCCACCCCCGATCTTCCTCCTCCTCCTGCTGCGCCTCCTCCTCCTCCTCCTCCTCCTCCTCCTCCTCCTCCTCCTCCTCCTGCTCGTCCTGGGCCTCCTCCTCCTCCTCCTCCTCCTCCTCCTCGTCCATCTCCTCCTGTCCACCCGCGGGCGAATCGACGCCGAATCGACGGCCGCACCCACGGCCGAGCCAGCGGCCGGAGACGGCGCGCCGCAGAGCGCGGCAGGTGAGCGCGCGGCGCGGCGCGCCGGGCCTCGGGGCAGCGGAAGCGCTCGCTGCCCACGGTGATGATGTTGCCTGGAGGCCACGTTTTGCTCTCCACCATGTGGTGGCCACAGCAGAAGACACGCTCACATCATCGGCATCATCGGCATCATCCTCACCATCGTCATCGTCATCGTCGTCATCATCGTCGTCATCATCGTCATCGTCATCATCAGCATCGCCATCATCATCATCATCATCATCATCATCATCATCATCATCATCATCATCATCATCATCATCATCATCATCATCATCATCATCATCATCATCATCATCATCATCATCATCGCCATCATCATCATCATCATCATCATCATCATCATCATCATCATCATCATCACCATCATCATCATCATCATCATCATCATCGTCATCGTCATCGTCATCGTCATCGTCATTGTCGTCATCATCACCAACATCACCATCGTCATTGTCGTCATCATCGTCATCGTCATCGTCATCGCCATAATCATCATCATCATCATCATCATCATCATCATCATCAGCATCATTACCATCATCATCATCATCACCATCATCAGCATCATCATCAAAATCGTAGTCATCATCGTCGTCGTCATCGTCATCGTTATCGTCATCCTGGTCATCCTGGTCATCCTGGTCATCCTCGTCGTCGTCATCGTCACCACCAACACCATGAGCATGACCATGACCACCGCCATGACCATCATCAACATCATCATCGTCATCAGCATCACCTCATCATCATCATCGTCATCGTCATCGTCATCGTCGTCATCATCACCATCAGCATCGTCATCATCATTATCATCATCATCAGCATCAGCATTAGCATCATCATCATAATCAGCAACAGCAACAGCATCAGCATCATCACTTCATCATCATCATCATCATCATCATCATCATCATCATCATCATCATCATCATCATCATCATCATCATCATCATCGTGCGCATCAGCATCTGCATCCGCATCCGAATCAGCATCAGCGTCAGCGTCAGCGTCAGCATCATCATTATCACCACCACCACCATCATCATCACCATCATCATCACAATCACCACCACCACCATCATCATCGACTCTATCCTCCTCCTCCTCCTCCTCCTCCTCCTCCTCATCATCATCATCATCATCATCATCATCATCACCATCATCATCATCATCGATGTTGCGTGGAAGCCAGGCTTTGTTCCCACCTGGCGCCACACACGCCCGCTGCGGGGTCGCTGCCACGTCGACACGACACGAGCCTGCCGTGGCCGACCTCGGCTTTCGGGTCGTCACTCGGGCCTCCGGCAGCCGTTCGGGGTACGATCCGCCCCCCCCCCCCCCAGACGCCCTCGGCGAGGCGCAGCTGCTGAAGCGCATCCCGAAGCAGGAGAACCTCCAGGAACACACGAGAGCCTTGAACACTGGCGGCGGGGACGCTGCCGCGTCGTCAAGGCACGAACCTACCTCGGGGATCTACCAGAGGCCTCCTAGATGGGGTCCGAGGAGATGGGGTCGAAGGATCTCGCCGCACCGCCGATACATCGGCGATGCATGTCGACGTGGGCGATGCATCTACTCGGACCCCATTCACTCGGACCCCATCTAGGAGGCCTAGATCTACTGACCAAGGTCAACCCTGACTCGGGTCAGCCGGGCTTTTCAGAGAATCCTGTCAGACCATGCAGCATCCAGCAGGGTCCTACACCCGAGCCCAAGTCAGTGTGCCCCTGGCCCTGCAGGGTCCCGCAGGATCTGGCGCTCTGAGAGACCCCCGCTTGCACGGACCCCCGTCTCTCGGCGGCGACGATGAGGGCGAATCGCCCAAGGGCGGGCGTTACACGTATTCGCCCGGGAGCCTTTTCGAAGACAGATAGGGAGCCCACAAAGAACGTACGCGCCCAGCTATGTGCATGAACACGGTCCCTTGAAACGCGAGACTGGCCGCGTGCTACGAACATTCGCGCAGTGCGAACTCTCGAAACCAGCGTGGATTCATGCACGTGTACGTCCTTGGTCCCCCCTGGGGCTGTTCGCCCCCATCGTCGCCTCCGAGCCTCTTGCGCCCCGAGGCGCCGCGGCACGAGCCCGCCGTGCCCGCGGGGCCGGGCCCCCGGGGGACCTCGCGGGGTGCCAAGTCCCGCGCCAAGTAGGCGCGGCGACCCCCGCGGGCGCGCCTCCCGATCCGTGGCCGCCACGTGTGCCAACTCCCGCGCGGGGGGCTCAGGGCGGCGAGGCCTCCCGTCAGCCCGCGTAAGAAGGAGGCGCGGTGCGCAAGGGCCTCGGAGGGCCATTGCGAGGCTTTTCGGCCACGGCGCGGCCAACGAACATGGCCAGGGATGGACCGAGGAGGCAAGGCTGCAAAGGCACCCTTGGGAAGGCTGCCCATCCCTGCTGTGCGGGCTGACTGTATCTGCTCGGCGGCGGGCGAGGGGGGGCGGGGGAAGTGAGAAGGAGAAGGCCTCCGCAGAAGGCGATGGGACCTCTCAGGGGGGGGGGGGGAGGGACCACCCCCTTCCTTCCTGTCTCCCCTACCATACCTCCTCCTGTCTCCTCCTCCTCCTCCTCCTCCTCCTCCTCCTCCTCCTCCTCCTCCTCCTCCTCCTCCTCCCCCTCCTCCCTGCTCATCCTCCCTCCTCCCTGCTCCTCCCTTCTCCTCCCTCCCGAGAAGCCTCTCCTGCGTCTGCGCGGAGGGCTCCGAGGTCTGCGTCTGCGCGGCAGGCCCGGGACACTTCTCAGGAGGCCGGGGGGAGGGGGGGGCTTCCGAGAGCCTTCTGAGGAAGCCCGCCCCCTCGCACGTCGTCCCTCCCAAGGCGCGCCGCCGATGTACATGAGGAGGCGGAGGAGGAGGGAGGAGGGAGGAGGATCGAGGAGGGAGGAGGAGGAGGAGGAGGAGGAGGAGGAGGATCGAGGAGGATCGAGGAGGGGGAGGAGGAGGATGAGGAGGAGAAGGAGGAGGAGGAGCAGGAGGAGGAGGAGGAGGATCCACCGCCTCTGGCCAGGCCCACCCTGGGCCCAGGAGTGGTGTCTGCGCCCCCTGGCGTGGCCAGGGAGCATGCAGCGGCCGTTCGGGACGATCTTTAGGTCGGACATGTCCTCCTATACAGGCGGATTTTGGAGGAAAGGTCAAACGTTGTCAACACAAGTGCTCAAACAAAAATATAAGCCAGGCGAATGACCCAACCATACGCAGTTGTGAATACCGGAGTTGTGATTATTTACCTCGGTGGAGCTCCCTGGCCGCATGCGAACGCAGCCGCTGGGGCCTTCGATGGGGTTCCCTATGGGGGCCACGAAACGTTCGAGGGGTGTGCCGAAATGGCGGTGGAAACGCATGCGAACGCAGCCACTGGGGCACGAACCGTGTGAGAGGTGTGTCGAAATGGGCATGCGGTGGGCGGGGTGGATGCATGCGAACCCTGCCACTGGAGCCTTGGGCGCCATGCTCCCTATGGGACCACGAACCGTGTGAAGGGTGAGCCGAACTGGGCATGCGGTGGGCGGGGTGGACGCATGTGAACGCGGTCACTGGGGCCTTGGGTGGAGCTCCCTATGGGGCCCGAAATGGGCATGCGGTGGGCGGGGTGGACGCATGTGAACGCGGCCACTGGGGCCTTCGGTGGAGATACCTATGGGGCCACGAAACGCGTGAGGTGGATGCCTACATGGGCATGCGGTGGGCGGGGGGACGCATGTGAACGCGGCCACTTGGGCATTGGGTGGAGCTCCCTATGGGGCCACGAATCGTGAGAAGGGTGAGCCGAACTGGGCATGCGGTGGGCGGGGCGGACGCATGTGAACGCGGCCACTGGGGCCTTGGGTAGAGCCTCCTATGGGGCCACGAAGCGCGTGAGTGGTGTGCCGAAATGGGCATGCGGTGGGCGGGGGTACGCATGTGAACGCGGCCACTGGGGTCTTGGGTAGAGCTCCCTATGGGACCACGAAGCGCGTGAAGGGGTGTGTCTAAATGGGCATGTGGCGGGCGGGGGGACGCATGTGAACGCGGCCACTTGGGCATTGGGTGGAGCTCTCTATGGGGCCACGAAGCGCGTGAGTGGTGTGCCGAAATGGGCATGCGGTGGGCGGGGGTACGCATGTGAACGCGGCCACTAGGGCCTTGGGCGGAGCTCCTTATGGAGCCACGAAACGCGTGAAGGGTGTGCGTAAATGGGCATGTGGTGGGCGGGGGGCACGCCTGGGAGGAGGGAGGAGGGGGATGAGGAGGAGAGGAGGAGAACGCGGCGCGCTGTCTTTTCAAAACAAGGGCCCGACACAGGATGGTTGGGAATAAACATTGCCGACAAGTAATCCCCATCTTATTTTTTGCTATTTTCGAATATTCCTCCTGTAGCGGGACACGCGGCGGTCGGGACGATCCCCTGGAAGACTCTCGACGAGACGCAGCTGCTGGAGTGCCTCCCCAGGGCGAGAACGCCTCTCCGGGTTGGAGGAGGCGGCTAGCGGGTCCGAGCCGAATAGTCAAGCCCAGAGAAAATGAGTAAGTCAAGGGGGGAATCCATCAGGAGAGACAAAAGTACCACTACCACCAGCTAGGGGGGTGGCCGCTCCCTCCCCTCGAGCTGGTGGCACCTCCTTCCGGGCACTCTGGAGGCATGCCCAGAACGAGGTGCCACCAGCTCGAGAGGGTGGGACAGCCGTCCCCCTAGCTGGTGGTAGTGGTACTTTTGTCTATGGTGAATGTAAAGGCCGGCCAATCGGTCCCTAGACCCATCCTGGGGTCGAAACTGGCAAGTTTTCCGAGACGCGCCCAACCGTGGTGACGAAGGGAACCCTTTCCCCCTTCTCTTCTGCGGGCCGGAACCGATGCTGGGTCGCCTCAGCCCCCGAGCCGGCTCCAACCTCCAGACGCCCGCGCATAGGGGAACGAAACATCACATAAACATACTTACACCAAAGAAAGACCCCAATCAGTGGATGGTTTTCGCTGAGGAGATCGACCGGGAACCGGGGAGCCCGGGAACCCTGCAGAACCCACCGAAATCGGCCCTAACCTGGAACCCGGGAACCCAGAAGCGGGAACCCGGGAACCCAGCCTGCTACCAAAATCGGCGGGAAACTTTCGCCAAATCTTTCAACTTCCGCTGGGACCCCTTCAGTGCAAGCACTGATTGGGGAAGAACTCCAAGGTCCGCGCGGATTTCTCGGATCGGCGCTAGGGCCCCCTGGCGGCGCCTCCGGCGCCGCCCCTGGCGCGCTCCGCGCGCCTGGGAGAGGGGTCCGTCCAGCGCGGACCCAAGGAACCCGCGCGGACCTCAAAGTTTCTATGTTTCTGTCGCTCTTCGTTCCCCTAACGAAGACGCCCGAAAACGCGCTCCGACCTGTCCCTCTTCCTAAGCCTCCCTGGCTCCTCCACGGGCCGTTCGGGGCGATCCGGACACCCCTGGACGGCTCTCGACGACTCGAGTAGGAGGTCAAATGCAGAATTCATTTACCCCTCAATTTTTTCGTCGAATCGCCGAAGGAATATGTAGCAGTCCATGACAGTTTTACTTTTGCCTTTCTAGATGCGACGAAAAATCATTTTCGGGGCAAATCAATTCTGTACCTGATCCCCTACTCGACGAGACGCAGCTGCTGGCAGGCACCCCGAAGCGAGAAAGCCTGCCTCCAGGCACCCGCGACGATGCCAGCACACGGACTTGGAGGCGGGCCCCAAGAAAACGAGGAGAAGGAGGAGGAGGAGGAGGAGGACGAGGACGAGGAGGAGGAGGAGGAGGAGGAGGAGGAGGAGGAGGAGGGGATGAAGCCAAATCCGCTCAACATCACCCCCTGGACCCCTCCCAGGTTCCATGTGGTACAGTTTTTGTCACCCCGGATGCCCGGCAACGTTAGCGATGTATCGGCGACGTCAGCAATGCATCGGCGACGTCGGCGTGGAGAAATCAGGCTCCACATCGTACCGCATCGCCGATGCGTCGTCGATGTGGCGCGATCCTCAGACCCTTTCTACTTGCATCCCGCTTGAGAGGTCCAAGAGCCTCCCTCCTCCCTCCTCCCGTCTCCCTCCTCCTCCTCGTCCTCCTTCTCCTCCTCCCTCGCCCGACCCCCCCCCGAGGAGGGGGGGGATGTTGATGCCAGGGCTTCCTCACGCCTTCAGTCCATATCCACCGCCTGGGAATCGACGTCCTGGGGACCCAGCGGGCGGTCGACATGGATAGATTCTGGCCCGCGGGGGCCCGAACAGATCCCTATCCACCGCCCGCGGAGGCCCACGAAGATCGACACCCCAGGCGGTGGCTGTGCATAGATACCTGCCTCGGAGTCCCCCTCGATCAGCCACGCGCGGATCGGGGTTAGGGGGAGGGGGGAAGGCTTCTTCGAAGCAACCTCCTTCTAAGAAGCCTTCCCCCCTCCCCCTACCCAGACATCCGGCCGCTCTATTTTTTTCGATGCGTGGGCCCTGGAGGTGCGCAAGCTTGAGCTAGGGCCTCCTCGCTCCTCGCGGCACCTGCGGGTGAACCTGCAGCAGACGCGTACCGTGAGGATGCGCGATGCAGTCGGGCGGGTAAATCGGGAACGAAGCCCCCAGATTGACTCCCCAAAGGCCTACAAACGCTCTTCGAAGAGGCCCCACGACGCATCCCTGAGGACTCTGCCCCACATCAGCGTCGTCGTCACCGCCGACGCCGCCGTCGTGGTCGCCGTCCCCCTTCAGGGTCGGCGTCACCGGCCGTTCAGGCCTTCCCAGTACAGTGGAGGCCCGTCCACAAGAAACCTTCCACAAGAAACCCAACCCTGAGACCCCAGGACGTCCATCGATTTTTGGTGTGGGAACGTCGCGCTTTCCATGGCAAAACCATCGAAACCCAAGAAACATAGGGCACCCTGGAGGCAAGCAGGGTGCTTCTTGGCATGGGCCCCCACTGTAAGGAACGAAACCCCTTTGTGGCCCCACAAAGCGCCATCGGTCACGAGGGCCAGAGGAGCAGCCATGTCGACGCCTGTCGAGCGTGGCGCGGCTGGCGAGAGCGGCCAAGGATGGTGGGCCTGTTTTCCACCGCCGCCACCACAAGCAGGAGGGGTAGGGGGTCCTCCTCCTCCTCCTCCTCCTCCTCCTCCTCCTTCTCCTCCTCCCCCCGCTTCCTCCTCCTCCTCCTCCTTCTCCCTATCCTCCTCCTCCTTCTCCTCCTCCTCCTCCTCCTCCTCCTGCTTCCTCCTCCTGCTTCCTCCTCCTCCATGGCATGGCATGGGCCCCCACTGTCGTGCAGAGTCGGTCCTCCCCTCGAGGTCCGGGCACGGGCCCCCCCGAGGGTGCCGTCGGGCAGCTCGTACGTCTTCTCCTTGTCCGAGCTCTCCGTGGCCGCCTTCATCTCCGTGTCGAAGTCGAGCGCGATGTAGCAGAGCTTCTC